ACTTGATCTTGATTTGGTTGTCTTTCGCCTTTCTAACATCAGAGTCTTCGTCTCTTTTCTCATCTTGTAAATTAAGGAGACGGTTTCATCTTAATGGGATGCACATGCCTGGTGATGTGGTTTTGGGCGGCCTATTTGAGGTCCACTACACCTCTGTCTTCCCTGAGCTGTTGTTCACCTCAGAACCGAATCAGCTCAGCTGCCAAGGGTAAGTGTCCAACTCTTGTAGCAGGCAATGGCCAACGATAGATAATGAATTGCTTTTTTAGTCGTTAACCATGTCATTTTACATATTAGCTTTGACACTGCAGGGTTCAGGCATGCCATGACCATGGCCTTTGCCATCGACGAGATCAACAAAAAAAACAATCTGCTACCTAATGTGACGCTCGGATACAGTCTTTATGACAACTGTGCCACACTTGTAGTTGGATTCAGTGCTGCGTTGTTGCTGGCCAGTGGTCAAGAGGAGCAGTTTCTACTTCCAGAGAAATGTTTTGGGACCACTCCAGTCCTAGGCATTGTCGGTGATTCCTTCTCTACATTTTCCATCGCCACCTCTGATGTGATAGGTTTATTTAATATGCCAATTGTAAGTTCACCTTCTTTGGTCTTGCTGTAGCTGAGATTTGGATTTGCTATATTTTTCATTGTATTTATTTAGAAAATAAAGATGATAGGTGGGGTGATTTCTCAGCTACAGCCAATCCAACCAGCTTTGCAAGCATTTTTATATAAATTACTTAGTAATTATTTACATGTTTCTGCTAATTTGCTTGGGAAGTAAAACCTGCATGAATAATATATGTTTTTTTTTATAGGTGAGTTATTTTGCCACATGCTCCTGCTTGAGTGATAGGAAAAGGTTTCCATCCTTCTTCAGAACGATCCCAAGTGATGCTTTCCAGGTGAAACTCTGGTCTACAAATAAAAAATGAAAAATGTGTTTCAGATGACGTGTAACTGACTTTTAAAACAAAAGATCAACTAACTGTAATTTTACATAATTGGGCATGTTTAATGCTTATTTAAAACGCTGCACTAATCCCTCTACTCTATTCAATAAGGTGCGTGCTATGATTAAGATTCTGAAACACTTTGGCTGGACTTGGGCTGGTCTGCTGGTCAGTGATGATGACTACGGACTCCATGTCGCCCAAACCTTCCAATCCAACCTGGCTCAATCTGGTGGAGGTTGCCTGGCTTACTCAGAGGTTTTGCCCTGGGGTGAACACCCTGCTGAACTAAAAAGGATTGTGGAAATAATGAAGAAATCAACAGCTCGTGTGGTCATTGTGTTTGCGCATCAGATCCACATGATTCAACTCATAGAAGAGGTATTTAATCTTCTCAACCTGGTCTCACTCCCAACTCGTCAAACACTCTCACTTGATCAGTGCCCCTCTACACCTGACTCCGATTCATGTAGGCAGCCTTTAGCGCATCGAACCAAGCTCTCAACTCACCTCAGTTTCAGACGATCAAAGCAACCAATGTAGTGTAACCTAGCGATTTGATTCATGCAACCCACAGGTGGTTAGGGAGAATGTCACTGGCATTCAGTGGATGGCCAGCGAAGCCTGGTCAGCAGCTGCTGTGCTCCAAACCCCGCGCCTTATGCCCTACTTGAGTGGCACTCTGGGCGTTGCCATCCGCCGAGGAGAAATACCAGGTTTAAGGGACTTCCTGTTACAAATACAGCCCGATCTACAACACAACAACAGCTATGGAAATAGTATGGTGAGTTCAACCCTGCAATCTGATCTAATACCATTAAAGTATATTATCCTAATTAGTGACAGTCTGTTTTGAAAATATTTTCAGGTGAATCAGTTTTGGGAATACACATTTCAGTGTAGATTTGCACCACCTCATGCAGGTTGGGTGGAGGCCGGGGGATCACTGTGCACTGGACAGGAAGATCTAGAGAGTGTGGGGACTGAGTTCTTGGATGTTTCTGATCTCAGGCCTGAGTACAACATTTACAAGGCGGTGTACGCCCTGGCGTATGCCCTCGACGACACGCTGCAGGGCGAGCCAGGGAGACGGCCTTTCAGCGGACAAAGCTGTGACACTTTGAAAACATTGGAGCCATGGCAGGTATGGTATCAAATAACAATCAAGCTGTTCAGTTCAGACGCTGCAGACGCTTTTGAAGTGTTACTGAAATGTATTCTGTGAAAAGCACAAATGATGAACCAGGCCCGTACCATCTGTTTGATTCTCCTGATGGTCTTTGAGACAAAGTCCTCCCAGAAGCCCACAATTTGATCCACAATTCATCACACAGAATATCTGCAAACTCAACAACATCTGTTTTTATTGGAGTTTTTATTGTTCATCATTTACAGCTTCTGCATTACCTGGAAAAGGTGAACTTCACCACATCATTTGGTGATCAAGTTTCCTTTGATGAGAATGGTGACGCTCTACCAATATACGACATCATGAACTGGCTGTGGCTCCCCGATGGAAGGACTAAAGTTCAGAGTGTGGGGTTTGTCAAGAAGTTAGCCTCCAAAGCCGAAGAGCTTACACTTGACGATGACAAAATCTTCTGGAACTTTGATTCCAAACAGGTTACGCCTTTCTATTACAGTTTTTAATTGTACGTTTGTATGTATGAAACACAATAGACGGATTCAAAGACGGCAAAATAACTGTGAAAAAAACTTACATTCCCTTCAGTTACCCCTGTCAGTGTGCAGTGAGAGCTGTCCTCCGGGTACCCGAATGCTCAGAAGAAAGCGGCAGCCTTTTTGCTGTTTTGACTGTGTAGCATGCTCTGAGGGAAAGTTCAGCAATAACACAGGCTGGTACAATTATACAATGTTTTGTAAAATGATTGAATAAAATGATTGAATATGAATTTGTAGTCGTGAATTAGTGTTCACTGTTGGGAGACAAAAACGTCCTTTATGCTCTGTTCCCGTGTTTTTCTATAGACTCCATGGAGTGCATCAGTTGTCCAGAGGACTTCTGGTCCAATGCCCAGCGGGACCACTGTGTTCCTAAGAAAACAGAGTTCCTCTCCTACCATGAGCCTCTGGGTATCTGCTTGACAACTACCTCGCTATTGGGAACATTTATCTGTGCTGTTGTCTTGGGAATCTTCACCTACCATCGCAGTACACCCATAGTACGCGCCAACAACTCAGAACTTAGTTTCTTGCTGTTGCTGTCACTTAAATCCTGTTTCCTGTGTTCACTGCTGTTCATCGGCCGTCCCAGACTGTGGACATGCCAACTAAGACATGCAGCATTTGGGATCAGCTTTGTACTTTGTGTTTCATGTATTCTGGTGAAAACGATGGTGGTTCTGGCTGTGTTCAAGGCCTCCAAGCCGGGAGGAGGGGACAGTCTGAAGATGTTCGGTGCTGCGCAGCAGAGAGGGACAGTTGTGGTTCTTACTTTTATTCAAGCAGCCATCTGCACTGCTTGGATTGTGTCTGCCTCTCCAGCTCCCCATAAAAACACTCAATACCACAAAGACAAGATAGTTTATGAGTGTGTAGTTGGTTCCACCGTCGGTTTCGCAGTATTACTGGGCTACATTGGTTTATTGGCTATCCTCAGCTTTATGTTAGCATTTCTGGCGAGAAATCTTCCGGACAATTTCAATGAGGCCAAGCTCATAACTTTCAGCCTGCTGATCTTCTGTGCCGTGTGGATAGCCTTTGTCCCCGCTTATGTCAACTCTCCAGGAAAATATGCAGATGCAGTGGAGGTTTTTGCTATCCTGGCCTCCAGTTTTGGTCTCTTGTTAGCACTGTTTGGACCCAAATGTTATGTAATCCTGCTGAGACCAGAGAGGAACACAAAGAAAGCAATCATAAGGCAAGGTGAATGTATCAAATAATCCTATCCCTATGTTTTTCGCATTTGACAAACACAACTAGAGCCAAGTTATTATCATGATTTCTTTTGCTTATGTTTTTAATCACTGTTCTTGACTTATATGTTATATGCAGGTTCACAAAATAATACTTATCCATACCTTCCTAGCACTCTGATTAGCAAAAACTGATATATAACAATTTACCAATCTAACAAAAACGGCAGTTGGGAAATGTGATGTTTGTGTGTATAGATGCAACATTATCGAATGTATTGCTCATCATTAAAAAGAACATCTTCCTGCATCAAACCAATCACTAATTGCAGTATGACCTTTCATTTCCTATATGCTGTCCTGCCCATGTGGAAAACCATAGAAAATAACAGAAGATGCTTAAATCAGGATTTTTAAGACAAAGCTACAGTTCTGGAAAGGACAACTACCCAAATAGTATTCACTGTTCTAATTAAGTTGACGTGAAAAATAAAATCTGATTGAAAGACTCATTTTGAGTGCCGTCATTTTGATTACACATGTAATATGGATACATACAACAACCCTGCATCAAGCAGACACAGTGCAAGTGAGGATGTGTTATTTCACCAAATGTCTTGGTATGCTGCTACCATCTAGTGGACATGCGCATCCATAGACACACCCATGGCTGATTTGAGTATTTGGGGAGTTGGATTTGGCTTTCTTGCCACACAATTTTGGGAATATACCTGCAGTAAAGTAGTTCTACACCCATACTGTATGGGTAATAAACTGCAGAGCGAACCATGGCAAGTTGATGTTTTACTGGAAGGTAACTTTATCGGCAACCTGTCATACACATTGAAGTCAAATCAAACTTACTAATAAACAAACAATATAGATCTGTTGTGCAAATAAAAAAACATGGTAAATGCATCAATGCAAAATCTCAAAATGAATCTCAAAGGAAATACCTTTCAGGCCCTGCCCTTACTTTAGCGTATACCCTGATGGGTGGTGTGCAAGATTAAACAAGACTGCAAGTGAATAAAAGGACTCTTTGATGCCAAGGGGTGAATAGGAGGAACGTCATGTGGGCCTCTTTGGAAATCAACCTCCTCTTGTTTGTGTACTTCCTTTTGTTTTATTCCTACGCTAATTATTCTGTGAAGTCCAACCTTCATTCCATCTCTTGCCAATTACAGGGACAGTTTCATCTAAATGGGATGCACAAGGCTGGAGATGTGGTTCTCGGTGGGCTATTTGAAATTCACTTTTTTTCTGTCTTTCCTGACCTGTCTTTTACCTCAGAGCCACAAGAGCCGACCTGCCACAGGTTAGTCTGTGAGGGAGAAAAATCAAAAACAGAAAGGAGGGGAGGTTAATCTTATCAATGCAATGTATTTTACATAATAAGAATTTACACAAAAACCTATTTAATCTATTATGTATTTATGCCATCACTTTTTTGTACAGACTCCTTTAGTATTGTATTAATTGTTGTTTTTTCAATTGTGATGTTTTTCTTTTAGTTTTGATGTTCTAGGATTCCGGCAGGCCCAGACCATGGTCTTTGCTATTGATGAGATCAACAGGAACCCCGACCTGCTACCCCGTGTGACTTTGGGATACAGTCTTTATGATAACTGCGTCAAACTAGGAATTGGCTTCCGCGCAGCGTTGTCTTTAGCCAGTGGTCGAGAAGAGCAGTTCATATTAGAAGATAACTGTGTAGGAACACCTCCGGTACTAGGAATTGTGGGTGATTCCTCCTCTACACGTTCCATCGCCATCTCCACCGTGCTAGGTTTGTACAGAGTACCTATGGTAAGTTTTCTGCTGTAATCCTTTTGGATCATTTTTAATTTAGGTTTTAAATTGAATAGCAATTGTAAAAGTAGACTTATCCACCTAAAGAGTTTTGAATGCTTTTAGGCTGTACTATTGGTGTCTTTCTCAGGTGAGTTACTTTGCCACATGTTCATGCCTGAGTGACCGGCAAAAGTTTCCATCTTTCTTCAGGACAATCCCAAGTGATGCATTCCAGGTGAACGTATATCCTCAATTAAAAAGCATTAATCTAAGCACTTGCATTAAACATTGCTCAGAAAGAACATCTCTGTACTGGAATGTAAATATGAGCTTTTTTGTGTAAAACCTGTTACCTTCCTTGTTGAATTATGTGTTGAGCTGTTTTGTCTGAGCTAACAATGCTGAAAGGCAACGGTTAAACCCGGTCTGTTGAGGAACCTGTTTACCGGGTTCCACTCTGAAAGACCATTCCAGTTCATGCACTAATCCCACCGCTGCCTTGGTTTAGGTGCGTGCTATGATTCAGATTCTCAGGCACTTTGGCTGGACTTGGACGGGTCTGCTGGTCAGTGATGATGATTATGGACTCCATGCTGCCGGTTCCTTCCAATCTCACTTGTCGCAGTCTGGTGGAGGGTGTCTGGCCTACCTGGAGGTTCTGCCGTGGGGCAATGACCGAGCAGAGCTAAGGAGAATTGTGGATGTCATGAGGAAATCTACAGCTCGTGTGGTCATTGTGTTTGCACATGAGAGTCACATGATTAACCTCATGGAAGAGGTTGGCCTTGAAGTAGTCTAATTATAACTTAAAATAAGGATATACCTTAGTGTTAAAACATTGCTCTTATATAATAGAATTAAATAATTAAATCAAGTGTCCTATGGTTCACGGCTCTGTTACCAGGGTATTAGACCGAGATCACTGACAGAGCGCAAGTGCATTGTGCTCCAGTTATAATGATATGTATCACATTTTCCATAATACTCTGTAAAACAGAGGATTTCACAATGACCAAGGAGAGACACCAACTCTGTAATGACAGTATGAACTTAACATTTTTTAATACAATGCAATGCACAGGTGGTGAGGCAAAATGTCACAGACCTGCAGTGGATGGCCAGCGAAGCCTGGATTGCAGCAACTGTGCTTCAGACCCCCAAACTCATGCCGTACATAGGTGGCACTCTGGGCATTGCCATCCGTCGAGGGGAAATACCAGGTTTCAGGGACTTCCTGTTACAAATACGACCTGATCTACAACACAACAACAGCTATGGAAACAGTATGGTGAGATCAATCTTGCAATTTGATCTGGTATTTGTGATACTAGTACAGTATATTATACTAATTAATGATGATCTGTTTTGAATATATATTCAGGTAAATCTGTTTTGGGAATACACATTTCAGTGTAGATTTGCACCACCTCATGCAGGTTGGGTGGAGGCCGGGGGATCACTGTGCACTGGACAGGAAGACCCAGAGCTTGTGGTGAATGAGTTCTTGGACATTTCAAACCTTAGGCCAGAGTACAACGTCTACAAGGCTGTGTACGCCCTGGCATATGCTCTTGATGACATGCTGAAGTGCGAGCCAGGGAGAGGGCCTTTCACTGGGAACAGCTGTGGAACTTTGCAAAGGGTGGAGCCGTGGCAGGTGGGATGTCAGTTTAAACTCCACCCGTCCAAATGACTAAATCCTGGGTGGATTAGCAGTTAGAGTAAATCATCATATAAAAATAGGAGTTATCTGAAAGTAAATGCAGAAATGATTTTCCCGCCATGAGTAACAGCAGTGAATAACGATATCAGGCCAGAGGCACCAACTCTTTACACTCGGTATACAGTATTATTGCTAAAATTGAATTGTCTTTGTATTTCTTAAGTGTAGTATTCAGTTTGAGTATTGAATACCAGGCACTGATGTGTTCACCTTGGTTGTTTTTTATGTGTCCTTTCTGACTTCCCGCTATCCCATATTTTGATATGTGTAGCTTGTGTACTACATGGAAAAGGTAAACTTCACCACACCATTTGGTGACCATGTGTCATTTGATGAGAATGGTGATGCCGCGCCAATGTATGACATCATGAACTGGCTGTGGCTCCCTGACGGAAGGATACAAATTCAGAATGTGGGGCAGGTTAAAGAGTCAGTCAAAGGTGAAGAACTCACACTTGATCAAGACAAAATCTTCTGGAACACTGAATCCAAAGAGGTACCTAAGACTATTCGGACATTTTGTGTCCCAGAAATGACTCATTATAGCAGCATTAATTAGTGTAGAATAACAGGTATGTATTTTTCTACTTATAGCCTCCCAGGTCAGTGTGCAGTGAGACCTGTCCTCCAGGTACCCGGATGGCCAGAAAGAAAGGGCAACCTGTCTGCTGTTTTGACTGCATCCCTTGTTCAGAAGGAGAGATCAGCGAAAAAAATGGTATTCAGCTTTAAACATTGCACATAACATATCATGTAAGCATGTATCTCACCACTTCCCCTGTCTTCTTAGACTCCCTGGAGTGCACCAGTTGTCCGGAGGACTTCTGGTCCGGCCCCCAGCGCGACCACTGTGTTCACAAGAAAACAGAGTTTCTGTCTTATCAAGAACCTCTGGGAATCTGCTTGACAGCCACCTCTTTGCTGGGCACATTCATCTGTGCTGTTGTCCTTGGGATATTTATGTATTATCACAGCACCCCTTTAGTACGCGCCAACAATTCAGAACTTAGTTTCCAGCTATTGCTGTCACTTAAATTGTGTTTCCTGTGTTCACTGCTGTTCATCGGCCGTCCCAGACTGTGGACATGCCAACTAAGACATGCAGCATTTGGGATCAGCTTTGTACTTTGTGTTTCATGTATTCTGGTGAAAACGATGGTGGTTCTGGCTGTGTTCAAGGCCTCCAGGCCGGGAGGAGGGGACAGTCTGAAGATGTTCGGTGCTGCGCAGCAGAGAGGGACAGTTGTGGTTCTTACTTCTATTCAAGCAGCCATCTGCACTGCTTGGATTGTGTCTGCCTCTCCAGCTCCCCATAAAAACACTCAATACCACAAAGACAAGATAGTTTATGAGTGTGTAGTTGGTTCCACCGTCGGTTTCGCAGTATTACTGGGCTACATTGGTTTATTGGCTATCCTCAGCTTTATGTTAGCATTTCTGGCGAGAAATCTTCCGGACAATTTCAATGAGGCCAAGCTCATAACTTTCAGCCTGCTGATCTTCTGTGCCGTGTGGATAGCCTTTGTCCCCGCTTATGTCAACTCTCCAGGAAAATATGCAGATGCAGTGGAGGTTTTTGCTATCCTGGCCTCCAGTTTTGGTCTCTTGTTAGCACTGTTTGGACCCAAATGTTATGTAATCCTGCTGAGACCAGAGAGGAACACAAAGAAAGCAGTCATGGGTCGGGGCATCCAGTAGTAAAATGTGTACTATAGTGACTATAGACTTAATTGCTGCATTTCCTCTGTATAGTTCAAATTAATGCATTTTCCTACTGAATCTTTTTTTTAATTATTGTAAATTGTATTGTATTGTATTTGTAGCTTGTTTAATGTTTAATGACTGTTTTTAATGTTCCAATTGATTCTTAATTGTTTTTAAATTAAATTCCTTTTATTTTGCCTAATGTTTTGATTCTTTTAATGATTTTATGTGAGGCACTTTGTCTTGCGTTTGAAATGTGCTACACGATAAACTAATTGTTATAGTTTTAATTGAATTAATCTTATATCATTAGATTGTATATCTAATTATTAAAGATCTATTAATTACATACATAAAGATGTAGTTGTACTATTCTTCTTCCTGATATTGATAACAAGCACTCGAGAGAATGATGACATATTTGGGGGCAAAAAGGTAGAGTAGTAACAGGCCAAGATTTTAAAAATCTAGTAAATAACAGTAAATGCATGGTTCCTATTTTAGTTTTGTGTCAATATTCTACTAACTACTCTCATTACTTGAAGCATTTATGTCGTATTGACTAAATGTGTTGTAACTCTGTTATTTTATTCTGTAAACGTGGTATCCATGAAAGTTCTGTCCATCTGGGAATGGCTGATGAGGTTACAGTCTAATCAGTGTTTAAGCCGCACAAAACAAGCTGTATTCTTACTTGTATTATCACAAGGACTCCAAAATGAAACGAGGAAAATATAGGAATCTGTTGTAGTGTAACCAAAATACTTCCCATTGACTCTCTCCTGTCGTTCACATCTGAACTACTCAATGTGTATTGCAATCTGGTGTAACTCCTTCTTGCTTGAATTCCCTGCTCCAAATAACAAGTGACACAAATATGAACATCTACAAGTGGAAGAACTGAAACACAACCTTGAGGTTTTTATTTATTTTTATTGATATTGCTGTTTTTCTCAAAAAAAAAGGTACAAGGTTTATTAAATAATATTGAATAAATAAAATATAAAATAGTTTATATATTTATTATATTTTTCTGTCAGTAACTATTCAGTTGTCTTTGTGAATACATGATATTATTTGTTATTAATTAATAGTAGATGGACAAGAGTGGCATAAACGTATCATATATGTCACTAGTTGGTGAAAACGATTACAGTGTTTTTAGCAGGCAGGTATATGTACTTAAAATAAATGCAAGAATATATGGGCTGTTCTATTAATTTCTCTTCTACCTGGCCATCAGGTGTTTCTTAGTATTTCTTTTAGGCCTCAAAAGAATAATAAAACACTTTGGAGCAAAGATGCAGAAAAGTAAACCATAGCTAGAGGCGAGTATTGCAAAAATCTCCACAGCAACAGCATATTTTCCAGGAGAACTAACATAGGCAGGAACAAAAGCTATCCAAACAGCACAGAAGATCAACATACTGAAAGTGATCAGTTTGGCCTCGTTGAAGTTGTCGGGGAGTTTCCGAGCAAGAAAAGCCAGGAGAAGACTGGTGCAGGCCAGCAGACCGATGTAACCCAGAACCAGAGAGAAGCCCACCACAGAGGACATGGTGCACTTCAAGGACACTTTGACCCCTGGAATATCCAAGTCCACTCGAGGCACAGGGGGGCCGGACAGCAGCCAAATAATACAGATGAGAACCTTAAGGACGACGAAAACATTGTAAAGTATGATGTGAATAAAAATAGTGTAATAAGCATTCACTGGTAATATAAAGCTGTTCTTTATTTCTGACCTGTATGAAGGAAAATAAGCAGACACTTCCTCTTTGTTGGCCCGGACCAAACCACTTCATCAGGGCTCCAGCACCAGGCCGAGCTGAGCGGAAGGCTGCCAGAACAACTATAGTCTTAACTTGGAGGCAGGAAACACAAAGTACAAAGCTGATCCCAAAAGCTGCCTGTTGGAACCGACAAGACCAGACGGATGGACGACCGATGAACACCAGTGAGCACAGGAAGCACAGCTTCAGGGACAGGAGAAGCAGGAAGCTCAGTTCTGAATTGTTGGCTCGCACCTTTAAATAACAATTTAGATTTAGATGTTTAAAAAGAGAAGCACGTTTACAAGCCAAAAGAGATTCATTCAGATTATCTCAAACACATATTCTAAATCACAGTTGTGCACAATTATATTGGATTCTTACCATAGGTGTTTGACGGTAGTAAAGGAAAACTACAAACACAGCTGTTGTCACTGTGGCACCAGATACAGCGACTGCGGTCAGGGTGATGCCCAAGGTTTCATTAAAGGACAGGAAATCCAGCTGGCGAGGGATGCATGCAGTTCGCTCAGCATTGGACCAAAACTCAGATGGACAATGTACACACTGAAGGGAATCTGGGAGAGGGAAACAAAAGAGGAGGTAAGAAAAATAAGACACAAATAGTTCTAAATTAAGGTTGTCTTATAATTTCCTCACCAGTTTGATTGCTAATCTCTCCTTCGGCACATTGGATACAGTCAAAGCAGCAAAGAGGTTCTCCTTTCCTGTTGGCCTTTCGGGTACCTGGGAGGCAGCTCTCGCTGCACACTGACGTAGGCACCTGGATAACAAGTAAAACCATTTTCATAAGACAAGTGTTCTTGTGAATGACATGCTGATACTGGGCTGAATCAATATTGATAGTTTAAACCACCTGACTGGATCCTGTGCTCCACTGAATGGCTGATTCGTTAAGGTGGATGTTGAACCCGTCCACACGGCCGATCAAAACAAGTTTGGCTGACCCCTGAGGGGTGTTTTGCCAGTTGACAAGGTCGTACTTTGCTGGAGTGTCACCACCTTGGAAGTAAAACATATCCCCATGTGGCGTGGTGAAATTTACTTTGCTCAAGTGCTGCAACAACTGAAAGGAAAAATATTGTATGATTACTTCTAATATAGTATCATCTTAAAAAAAGATTCAGCAGCTACATTGTTCAACCTTGTACAGCACAGCACGTGATTGTGTTAACCTCTGAGGAGTTGATGTGTTGGGGAGAGGAACAGTTGACGCTGCTGTTTCTGGTGGAGCTTTCTGTATCAGGGCAGGACAGGAGGCTGTGAAGGGCGTGAGCTGCAGCGTAAACAGCAAGGTACACGTTATATGTCACTCTTAGCTGGGAGATGTCGGTGAATTGATTCTGCACGGCCTCCATTGACTCTGTCCCATTGCAGAGTGGCCGAGCATCCTTTTGAAGTGACGGTGGAGAAGTATTCGTAGATTGTGGTGTGGCCCAAAGTCTACAATCAAACATCTTTTCCCAGAGTTCCTTTAAGAACGTATCTTCAGGACGATCGTATGGGTTCAAACTCATGAGAAAATGTTCAAATCCAGGGATGGGCGAACTTCGAATGGCCACACCCAGAACACCACGTGCCACTTTGGAAGTGAACGGATCCCGGAGTAGATCACCACTGGTGCTCCAAGCCTCACTAGCAAGAAACTGTCTGTCAGTCACCTAAAAATAACAACACAATCACAGATGATAATTCAACAGACATCATTTGTGATGTTTCTCTAAAAAGTTAACTTGTGGTTTATTAAAATTGCTCACATTTATCTTGGCTAGTTGCGAGAACAGTTCTCTCACATCTGTGTACCAGGTAAAGATCAGAATCACTTTTGCAGTCGAGGCCTGAATTGTGAGGGCCGCCTGTCTGGCATCTGTCACAATGTTTTCCCTTTGGAGAGTCTCCACAAATGCAATACACACCCCGGCCCCCCGAGTCTCCTCCTCAAAAACCTGATGTATGCAGTTGAAAGGGGGGCGAAAAAGAATAGATTAACACAAAAGAGGTGCTGTGTAGATGTCTTGTATTTATGCCGAAGCGAAACACCTTTTGGGCTACAAGGCCATAATCGTTGTTTGCTACAACTGCTCCGATCCAGGTCCAATTGAAGCGAATGGCAAGCTGGGCAATGGCCCGGGCTTGGTAAATATCGCTGGGCATGGTCCTGAAGAAGTTAGGATACTGGAGTCTGTCACTCAGACAAGGACAGCTAGCTGTGTAGCTCATCTAAGGGAAATAAATAACACATATATTCTAAAAATCCACTAGCAATTCAATTTTCAATTCAATTTTTTTCTGGGAGGAGAGCAAAATGAATGTGATAAAATATTCCATGCACCAAGTTCAAAATATAATATGTTGAATAAATCCCAAATAACAACTTTAGAAGTAAATTCGACATTCTGAGCGTCACACAGAACTCACTAAAGGTATGGCGAGTGGCCCCAGGATTCTGGAGAGTATCTGGGCTGTAATAGATGAGGAACCACCAATGATCAAAGGAACAGTCTGATCACCTAAAGAAAGCATAATATGTAATAAAATACAGTCTTGAGTTAAGCTTGGCTTCTTTTTCAGACACAACGTTGTGATCTTTATGCTTTCATCATTTTATTTAAAATAGAAGGATGAGCTCGGCTTAATTTAGTACCTCTTTTTTGCCCGACGCCCTCTCCAGCAGAATAAAGTGGCCGGGCTGTTGAGTTACAGCTGGCGCTGTCTCCTCCAACCATTGACAGAGCTGCCTGCATGGCCCAAGACGGCAGGGCACAGCTATCTTGAATATGGAAGCCGAGCTTCACCCCTGGCAGCAAGGTTGTGCTATGATTGATTTCCTCCAGCGCAAACACCATAGCATATATGTACTGTAATGGAAGATTTTCCAAACTGACACCACAAAAGGAAAGAAATTAGAGAAATATCAGTTAAAATGCTGAGGTGACAGTAAAACTCTGGAATCATTTGTCAGCGTTATATGCAATGATGTGCCATCATTGTACAAACCATTTCACCAACTCGCTTTAACAAGAAAACAATCATGTAACACAGTAAATAGTGCAGTTCAGAGTTTTACCCCGTGCAAGGTTTGTAGTGTGGCAGCTGAGTGAAGTCGCTGTCGATAGCTGGAGGCTTGGAGTAAAGACTGAAGAGCCCACCGAGCACTACATCTCCCTCCTGGAACATACCCTGATCGCCTGATGTGCCCCACCGGGAACAAATAGCTGCCTGAACCACCTGCAACCCCCCTCGGAGCCCCGGCTGCCTGCTCAAGAGCCCCACAAGGAGCAGCGATGAGCACAGCTTCAGAGTGAAGAACCAGAATGACAGAGACATGGACGAAGCACTTCTGGGCATTTTAAATATATATGAAACACACTCGCTCACTCAGATGCTTAAGCTTCTTATTGGCAACACTACTGTCAACAGTAATGCCAAAGTAAAATTTGATTAAATCCCCCTTTCTGCAGCGATGAGACAACCACCTGAAAATCAAAGTACAATTAAATGGCAAAAAGTACGTTACCACAGATACAACCTGCACTGATAAATGCCGATGTTATCTGACATGCCCTCTCCTGCTGCCTACTCAGCACAACATGGAAGTTGCTCTGTGTATTTATAAGAGTTGTAAAGCCCAGGCGCAATGATAGCAAACAGGATGACGCTGCACCAAGTCACTTCCCTCGAAGGTGAGAGCATTATACTGACAAGGAAACAGACCGATGTGTGATACAGAAACTAGGATTTACCTGGAGGGCAGTGGCCATGGATGTCCCAATAGAGTTGCACTTTCATCTTTAACATCCAGTTGATAAATTAATCCACAGTGACATGTACAGCCACACCTCTCACACCGTTGCCCTTACCACATTGTTGTTGTTTTCTTCTGGGAAAATGTTCTTCTCAAAGACTGGCACATTCATATGACAAAGGAAAGTCAATATTTGGTGGATCAAGTTATTATTTTTAGTACCCACTTCTGGTATCTAGCGCATTTTATTCTAGTTTTGATTTATTTATCCAGGTTTGGAGATATCGAATCCACGGGAACGTCTCTTTGCAGAAAGTCTGTACCACCTCCACGTGGGTTGTTTTTATGGGGAAATTTACATTTTTGTGGAAACCAGTATAAATAAATACGAGCCGCTGCTTCTGAGTGGAGTTTGCATATTCTCCCCAGTGCTATGCAGGTTCTCCAGGTTTCCTCCTGCAGTCTAAATATATGCAACTCAGATTACATGAGGACTCTGAATGGTGCCAGCCCTGGGATGGCCTTGCAACATGTCCAGGGTCCTTTCCCCCCCAGTGTCAGCTGGGTTAGGCCCTCAGCCCTCAGCAGCTCTGAGTAGAATAAGCGGTTACAGATAATGGATGGATAGCTGTAATGGATGGAGAATGATGTGATTAGAAGGCGTATTGGTCCCACTGGAACATCTGAATTTCATGTGGCCTACACATAGCATGACATAAATCTGCAAATAACCACCTACACCTGGGCCTGTGATTGTCATTTTATGTGGCGTGCTAGAGCCTGAAAGGCATCAAATTGTCTTAAAATAAAAAGTCTACACACTACAGCTAGCAGTGGCAAAGCCCCGGGGATTGATGAGATCCGTCCAGAGATGCTAAAGGCAATGGGTGTTGGGGGGTTGTCTTGGATGACACGCCTCTTCAACATTGCGTGGAAGTCTGGGACAGTGCCAAAAGAGTGGCAGATCGGGGTGGTGGTACCCCTCTTTAAAAAGGGGGACCAGAGAGTGTGTGCCAATTACAGGGGTATGACACTACTCAGCCTCCCGGGTAAAGTCTACTCTAAGGTGCTGGAAAGGAGGGTTCGGCCGATAGTCGAACCAAGGATTGAAGAGGAACAATGCGGTTTTCGTCCTGGTCGTGGAACAACGGACCAGCTCTTCACTCTTTCCAGGATCATAGAGGGGGCTTGGGAGTATGCTCAACCAGTCTACATGTGTTTTGTGGACTTGGAGAAGGCGTATGACCGGGTCCCCCGAGAGATACTGTGGGAGGTGCTGCGGGAGTACGGGGTGAGGGGGTCCTTGCTTGGGGCCATCCAATCCTTGTACGCCCAAAGCGAGAGCTGTGTTCGGGTGCTCGGCAGTAAGTCGAAGGCGTTTCCGGTGGGGGTTGGCCTTCGCCAGGGCTGCGCCTTGTCACCAATCTTGTTTGTGGTCTTCATGGACAGGATATCGAGGCGTAGTCGGGGGGAGGAGGGTCTACAGTTCGGGGGGCTGCGGATCTCATCGCTGCTTTTTGCAGATGATGTGGTCCTGATGGCATCTTCCGTCTGTGACCTCCAACTCTCACTGGAGCGTTTCGCAGTCGAGTGTGAAGCGGTCGGGATGAGGATTAGCACCTCTAAATCTGAGGCCATGGTTCTCAGCAGGAAACCGATAGATTGCCTACTCCAGGTAGGGAATGTGTCCTTACCCCAAGTGAAGGAGTTCAAGTACCTCGGGGTCTTGTTCACGAGTGAGGGGAAGATGGAGTGTGAGTTTGGCCGGAGAATCGGAGCAGCGGGGGCGGTATTGCACTCGCTTTACCGCACCGTTGTGACGAAAAGAGAGCTGAGCCGGAAGGCAAAGCTCTCGATCTACCGGTCAATCTTCGTTCCTACCCTCACCTATGGTCATGAAGGATGGGTCATGACCGAAAGAACTAGGTCACGGGTACAAGCGGCCGAAATGGGTTTCCTCAGGAGAGTGGCTGGCGTCTCCCTTAGGGATAGGGTGAGAAGCTCAGCCATTCGCGAGGAGCTCGGAGTAGAGCCGCTGCTCCTTTGCGTCGAAAGGAGCCAGTTGAGGTGGTTTGGGCATCTGGTGAGGATGCCCCCTGGGCGCCTCCCTAGGGAGGTGTTTCAGGCACGGCCAGCTGGGAAGAGGCCCCGGGGAAGACCCAGGACTAGGTGGAGAGATTATATCTCTGCACTGGCCTGGGAACGCCTTGGGATCCCCCAGTCAGAGCTGGTAGATGTGGCCCGGGAAAGGGAAGTTTGGGGTCCCCTGCTGGAGCTGTTGCCCCCGCGACCCGACCCCGGATAAGCGGTTGAAGATGGATGGATGGACTACAGCTAGCCGAAGAGAGGAGCATTCACTTTACTTTTTCTCTGGCTGCTGGTGAAAGTACAGGCAGGCTTAACTGTCAGTGAGGAGCTTTTGGAAGTAGTTGCATTGCATGAGATAGCAGAGATTTTTGATGCAGTGGAGAGGTCTTGCAACCACAATATTTCACTTATACAAATCGACTTGATTGGCACATTGTGTTCTATTCATCTGCCATCCATCAGCCTCTGCAACACAGACTTGGGAGGGAGAACACCTGTGGCAATGGTGCAAGTCTTAAAACCGGGTGCTCGCGTCAGTTGCTTTGGATGGTTTACGCTGAAAACACACCAGGCAGTGGCAAACTGTGGCTCGCAGCAATTCTGACATTTTTCTGCGACAAGGAGTGTGTTTCAGGAGAAAGAAATGGTTTATATAAATTGTGTTTGCAACTCAAAGTTAACTAACCACACACAAAAAGAAAAAAATGTGCAATTAAAAACATTGGTTTGTAAGACTATCAGGATTCAAGATTTTGTCTTGATTTATACTTTATATAGAAAAGTGGCATTAAACCAACCAACTGTAATCTATATTTAAAGTAAAATGTTTAATGTTGCAATCCCATATGCCTCAAAGTTTGAACTAATCACTTTTTGCACGTTTTCTTTTTTTGTGACTACATGGTGGACAACTAATTTATATAAAGCAATGATAAAAAATGTTTAATCTTAACAATCAATCTCACGTTGCCTCATTCTACAAACTTCATCAAGACCGTTGAAGGGTACAGTATATTAAACATAGGACACTTACTGAATACAGAGCTAATACTCAAATCCACAGTAGCGAAAGAGAAGGATGAATGGTATGATACTTCCATCTAGTGGCCGTGATTCTGTACACAGAGCAAACAAAATGCCAACCAAGACATTACCAGACAAAATGATCGCCCTTACTCTACTCCATATAGCTGTGAATCAATACATACATACATGCATACATACATACATACATACATATAAGTATAATTAACTACCACAGATGAGAAGCAAAGTAACAAAACAAATAATATGATTATTATTGTCTGAACAGGTATAATTAAGAAACATAACTGTAACATTATTTTAACAAACAGCATTGGTCTGTTAAATGTAAATAAATAAATATTAAATAGAGAATATATATTTATATTATTATATATGTAAAGCAAATCGTACTGTGTGGTCTACAGCCTAAATCTTTCTTGTATTGATTATATGTTAATGTTGTGTAATAAAACGTAATAGAGAAATCAGTTGATGCGGTACGGTATTCTTTTCAAAACACAGGAAAACGGAACAACAAGCCACATTACCGCAAAACACATACAGCAGATTGGAATTCAATGGCTGATGATGGATGTTCACATTTAATTATGTCTATGAACAGTATGAACAATATATAGTTACCAATGAAGGACATAATTACTTGTAGCTGTAAGAGGTTTGCTAATTTATTCCTAGCAAACCAACATCGGGGGTCGTCGTGGCGCGGGGGGTAGAGCGGGTGTGCTGGGAAGCGCAAGGTCGAAGTCTCCCCGAGCAAGACACCTAACCCATAATTGCTCCCTGGGCCAAATGTAAAAAAGCCATGGGTTTAAAGTGTAATGTAAGTCGCTTTGGATAAAAGCGTCAGCTAAATGATCTGTAATGTATTGTAACATTATTATAATGAAATGAATGTACACAATGCGTACACATTTACAGTTACATGATACCGATCCTGCCGTCTCCACCAGACAGAGAGACACACTAACCTTCAACCCAGGAAAACTATTTTGCCATCAAGGGTTTTTTAGTGTTTTTCTCAGGCCTAAAGAGAATTATGAAACATTTGGGGGCAAAAATGCAGAACAGTAAACCGTAGCTCGACGCAAGGATTGCAAAGATCTCCACAGCAACGACATATTTCCCAGGAGAGCTAACATAAGCAGGGACAAAAGCTACCCAGACAGCACAGAATATCAGCATGCTGAAAGTGATCAGTTTGGCCTCGTTGAATTTGTCAGGTAGTTTCCGTGCAAGGAAGGCCAGGAGGAGACAGGTGCAAGCCAGCAGACCCATGTAACCCAGAACCAGTGAGAAGCCCACCACAGAGGCCATGGTGCACTCCAAGGTGACCTTAGACCCTTGGAAACCGAGATCACGTTGCGGCATGGGGGGGCTGAGGGACAGCCACGTCACACAGATGATAATCTGGATGAAAAGTAAACAATGTGTCAGTGTTTATATCAAGTGAATAAATGTTCACCATTGAATCAATAAAGCAATGTTCACACCTGTATCGATGTAAAGAGGCAGACACTTCCTCTCTGTTGGCGTGGACCAAACCATTTGATCAAGGCTCCAGCACCAGGCCGAGCCGAGCGGAAAACAGCAAGCACTACTACGGTTTTGACCAGCAGGCAGGAGACGCAAAGTACAAAGCTGATCCCAAAAGCTGCCTGTTGGAACCGACAAGACCAGACGGATGGACGACCGATGAACACCAGTGAGCACAGGAAGCACAGCTTCAGGGACAGGAGAAGCAGGAAGCTCAGTTCTGCGTTGTTGGCTCGCACCTTGAGGGGAATTAGATTAAGAGACAAAGAATGGCCAACTATACCTTTGCACGAGCAAAACAAATATATAAAAGAAATCTGGGGAGTTTATATGTATATGTATACAATACACATGTGTTATATTACTCTAGGTTCTTACCACAGGTGTTTGACGGTAGGAGAGAAACATCACAAACACAATTGTTGTCACTGTGGCACCAGATACAGCGACTGCGGTCAGGGTGATGCCCAAGGTTTCATTAAAGGACAGGAAGTCCAGCTGGCGAAGGATGCATGCAGTTCGCTCAGTATTGGACCAAAACTCAGATGGACAATGTACACACTGAAGGGAATCTGGGAGATGGAAACAAAAGAGGAGGTAAGAAAAATAAGACACAAATAGTTCTAAATTAGGGTTGTCTTATAATTTCCTCACCAGTTTGGTTGCTAATCTCTCCTTCGGCACATTGGATACAGTCAAAGCAGCAGAGAGGTTCTCCTTTCCTGTTGGCCTTTCGGGTACCTGGGAGGCAGCTCTTTCTGCACACCGAAGTGGGTACCTGGACAAAAATTGCTACGTTCAACATTCTCAATCAAATAATCCTGTGAATGAACAACGGTGTTTATTTAGAAACAGCGACTTTGTTCGACTTCGACTTGGGACGACTTGTTGATCTGACTACCTGATTGGATCCTGTGCTCCACTGAATGGCTGATTCGTTAAGGTGGATGTTGAACCCGTCCACACGGCCGATCAGAACAAGTTTAAGTGACCCCTCCGGGGTGTTTTGCCAGTTGACAAGGTCGTACTTTGCTGGAGTGTCACCACCTTGGAAATAAAACATTTCCCCCTGTGGCGTGGTGACGTTCAATCTGTTCAAGTGCTGCAACAGCTGAAAGTAATGAATGTTGAAGAGACTGTTCACATTTCCAATACTGTATTTTGTTGCATTGACGATATTAAATGAACCCTGTGAGTAAGATGACCAAGGGAAAATCGTTTTCACCTCTTTGGATTCAATGTGGTTTGGATGAAAGCAGGGTGAGCTGCTGTTGTTTCCAGTTGAGCTTTCTCTTGGGCAGGAGAGAAGGCTGTGAAGGGCGTGAGCTGCAGCATAAACAGCAAGGTACACATTGTACGCCACCCTCAGCTGGGAGGTATCAGTTAAGGGATGATTCACTCCCTCCAGTGATTCTGTCCCACTGCAGAGGGGCAGAGTGCCTTTCTCAGAAGAGCCTGCTAAAGAACTGCATCTAAACTTCTTTTCCCACAATTCTCTCAAGAAATCATCATCAGGACGGCGCGTTGGGTGCAAACTCCTGAGATAATTTTCAAATCCGGGTATTGTTGAACTTCGAATGGCCACGCCAAGAACCCCACTTGCCACTTTAGAAACTTCAAGATCTTGAAGAAGATCATCACTAGTGCTCCAAGCCTCACTGGCCAGAAACTGTCTGTCAGTCACCTACAACAAATAAATTAAAATAAATTAGGACAAGAAAATAGATTTAACATTTTTTCTTCACACTTTAACTACCGTATATGTCTTTACAAATTTTGATGGTGTTTGCTCACATTCATCTTTGCCAGTTCCAGAAAGACTTTCTTGATCTCTGTATACCAACAAAAGACCAGAATCACCCTGGCAGTCGAAGCTTGAATGGTGAGGGCTACGCGGCTGGCATCACTCGCAATAGTTTCTTTAAGGACAGTCTCTATGAACTCTAAACACACCCCTTTCCCATGCGTCGCTTCCTGAAACGCCTGGATACCAAAACAACAGTTTAATACTTATATTGTTACTTACTGTATATAGAGGAAATCCATGAGATATTTGTTAAATAACAAAGACAGACACCTGTATTGCCAGTTTACCATAGTCCTTGTCTATAATCACAGCTCCCATCCAAGTCCAGCGGAAGCGAATGGCCATTTGTGCCATGGCCCGGGCTTGGTAAATATCACTAGGGATTGTTCTGAAGACATTAGGAAAGTTAAGCCTGTCACTCAGACAAGGGCAGCTTGACATGTAGCTGATCTGAAAGAATGAAGCAGAAATATTATCTTGACCCTGCTTTTACAGCAATAACACCATTGTATCTTTAATTTAAAGATTTAAAGTTTTCAAATAGCATCAGCCTCTTAATGTATTAAAAAGAAAAAGGTGAATTTCTTTAGGCACTGACACTTACAATTGGCACAGAAAGAGGCCCCAGCACCCTGGACAGAACTATGGTTGTTGTTGATGAGTCAGGACCGATGAGCAAAGGAACAGGCTGACTCGCTGCTTTAAAGCATTAGACATACGATTACATGACGTTAACCTTTTTATGCCATAATCACGTGAGTGAATGTTCGCCAAACAATTCATTACATCAAGCCGTACTTGCGGTCTCTCCAGGTTGTCCGTAGGCTGTAGAAGCAGGCGTCGAGGGGGTCAGGTTGCAGCTGTGTGCGTCTCCTCCGACCAGCGACAGAGCAACTCGCTGAGCCCAGTAGGAGCTGGCACAGGTGTCATGTATCCGGTAGCCCAGCTTCACTCCTGGCAGCAGGGTGGGGTTTCGATTGATTTCCTTCACCGCAAACGCCATGGTGTATGCATGTTTTAATGACTCTAGATCCAAACTGAGACCACAGGAGATTGAAGGGAAATCAAATAAATCTCTGAAGGATATATTTACCACAGATATTTATATAAAAACTGCAATTATAAAAATTACATTTAGACCAACATAACATGCAACATGTTTTGAGATTATCCCACTGATATATTACAGTTATATATTACAGTAAAATGATATATGATAATACATATATGGAACATTTTCCTTTTGTTATTAATGAATCAATTATAAAACAATATATGTATTATAGACATAGAACATTATGGCAAAACATTTTGTGGAATATTTTTATCTGCATTTTAACAGAAGCATATGAGCATGTCAAAAAGAAATATATATACGGAGCAACATAAAGAATAAAACACATAATATTAACAATACCCTGTACAAGTTTCATGATGAGGCAGCTCGGTGAATCCCTGCTCTACAGCTGAACTGGTGTGATAGAGACTAAAAAGTCCACCAATGATTATATCTCCATCCAGAGAGAGGCTCTTGTTGATCGGCGCACTCGACCTGGTGCACACTATTGCCTGAACCCCCTCCAGCCCCGTCTGTCTGTGCATTGCACCGAAAAGCAGCAGGGAAAGAAATGAAGGGGACCACGGAGTGATCAGCCAGGGGAACCAAGACATGGTAGCAGCTGTTCAGAAAATGCAACACATATAGATCATCTGAAAGTCAGAATGTGCATCAATCAATTCCGTCCGTAAAACACCAGTCACATCCGATCTATATCATAAAACCTGACAACAGAGAGTTAAATGCAGGTGCTACCTCCTGTACACCATTCAACAGCTCCTATTACCAAAAGTAAATCCCAATAAATTTGACATCACATAGCCTCATGTCAGAAACAGAGAACAAAGCAAACAGAAATGTGCCGAAGCTACATTCACAAGGTAAATAGATGAAAATGAGCTGAACATAGCCACCCCCCTACTCTCCAGAAGTGAAGTGCTGACGTGAATATTTATAATAGGTGTAAAGCTCTTTGCAAGGAGGTAAAACTGATGACACACAAGCCAAAATGACTTGTCTCTCGAGTAATGGTGGAAAAACACTTGATTGCGAGTGATTAGCATGTATGTTGTGAGGATTGTGTATGTGTTTACCATGAAGGTATGATATCATTGGAATGAAACTGACACACTGTACGTTACATAAGGATAAACGTGTGAAATTGTCAAAAGAGTGCTTATCTTTTAAATTTCCAAGGAATATTGTACGGGAAGGATCCATCCAACTTAAGTGTGGTAGTTTGGTCTGGGGAATTGTATGGCCAGAGCAACAGGTGTGCTGTTTGTTAGTCCTATTATCCAATATTTCATGAGCAATTACATCCCATTGTGGTTAAGGTGGCATATGGGGAAGGAATCATGGATTGAGCTGTTTTTTTAGTTCTAGCTTTATACTTGATACATGATCCGTTAAATGTTCTGTGTAGCATTTGGAGTGAAACAGAAAAGAAACAGAATTTGTTGAAATCAAATATTTTATTGCATTGGTAGGAAAATGCTCAGTTTGCCATTGAGCAACAATACAAAGCAAATAGGACGACTAACACTTACAATAAAAAACAAACTGCTGCTTTGCCACCATTCCCTCCTCAGACTGACCCTGTGTAATTGTTAACGTGTTTTTTTTTCTTTCCATTAATTATACAAAATAAAACAACCGCTACCAATAAGAGATTATTTTCGCAGTCTGTATCAAAGCATTTATAAAAATAAAACCTTCCAACTCCCAAATTTTCAATCATGATTTCGAATTCTACAAATAATAAAGGCCAACAGGTTAATGTAATGTATTGCACCTAATACAAACTAGTCTCCGTCCTCTGTTGTATCCAATGCAGCGATTTGTTCTGTGCAAAATCTTGTTAGGTGATGCAACATCTATTCTACAAATTGGTGCATAGTCATGCTTGACATGTTCATTGGTAACATGCACAAACTTTACAGTTAGAATTGGTTTTTAACTAAACCCCATCTCAAATTGAAAACAATGACCGGTATATTTACACTAGTCACACATAAAGAAATACCATGAACAGAAAAGGAAGACTTCCATTTGTATCTTTGAAAAGATGAACCCCATCTATTTAAAGTATCTGATTATACTACACATTCAAATGACACAAAGAAAGACATTCCCTCTAAGCTTAAAACACAGTTCTTCTTTTTTTTTTCTTGCTTCATCGTCAATGTTAGCAATTTGGAAAGTACATCACAGGGACAAAGATTACAGATATCTGTACAATCAGTCTAGGAAGCCATTGAAGGGAATTGAAGTTCCCAAGTACATTTAGACATTTAAGGAGAATACAGACAATGCACTGCCAGACTAAATAGACCATTCACTTGAATAGAGACATTTCATACAAGAAATTCATGCTGTCAGATCCAGCTATGGATTACATGTGATGCTTCACATACATTGTATAGATTATATCTTTCTCTAGAAGTAGCCCAGAATAACATGTATTTAACTGCCATGATTACCGGATTACCGGTCATTAAACATGGGGAAAAAACATGTGAGAGTGTTTTTATTTTCTTAATTTTCTGGCTTTTCGTGTAATTGAACATCATCAAGAATCACAGCTTGATCGTGTATCTCATTTTGGGTTATAGTCAAAGCTACAGTCTGAGCAGAAAGTAGACCTCTGGCTCTGACGCAGAATGGTTGGAGTCAGCAGGTGGAAGAGAGTCATCTGTGTAGAAGTGATCTCCATAGAGATCCCCATTTCCATGACGCAATGATGTACAAGCCCCCTCAGGAAGCCCCCTGTCTTCCAGCTGACCCAGGTACCCTGCTATGTAAGAACCAGTCGAGTGTCTGTTTGCTGGGGGGTTTTGTGAGGCTGGTTTATTCCTCAACACCACGCCACCAACGCTGCCGGTGCTATCCATCACACCTGAACGAGGCTTTAAAGCCTCCTGCAGTTTTTCACGAGCGCGGCTGTTGATGTGACGCACGCGGCTTTGGCTCCGAGAAGACAGGCGCCGGGTGAGGAGTGGCGGGGAATCATCTACATCTCTGGGAACGGCGGACGCTACACTTGTTACCTGTGGCTGTGGCACTGGGGTTCTGGCTTCCTGACACAGCGGAGGAGGCTCGGGTCCATCTCCGTCACTGTCGTCCCCCTCGAGACTGACCAGCTTTCGCAGTTGTTCTGTAAGTGGATCACAAGTCTGTGATTGGAATGTTACTTCCCCCATAGTGACCATCCTCTTTTGCTTCCTCATGTGGGGAGTGATGAAACTGCGACTTATTATGTGGTATTTGCTCTGGAAGTTGCAGGATATGTCTTCAGAGGTCAGGTCTCCCAGGGACTTAGACTTACATGGGCTGTGGGCGGAGGGGTCCATGGTAACAAACTGGGGTCGGGTCGATATAGGGCCTACATTTGAGTGGAGAGAGTCTCCGGATTTAGGGTGCGCCTGGTGTCTCGTAGCGACGACTGAAACGTTTTGGATCCAGGAATGGGTCGGGGTGTGTGCTTGTGTTTGACTTTGACCGTGTGGCAGGCTGTTTAGAGGAGCTGGAGACTCTGATGGGGCCGGAATGCAGTCGTAGTCCAGCTGGCTGTACACAGCATCGCAGGCAGAATGAGGAGGATAAAGGCCTCTCTCTCTACCAATGTTTGAAGACGCAGCAGTTTGGCCAGGAAGCCTTTTTTCATTACAGAAGGACCTTCCTTGCTCCATCTCCATCTGTTTATACCCGAGCCTGTCCTGATGGGAGATGTTTAAGATCTGGCTGCCACTATAGCTCCTCCGTTGTGTGTAGGAATCCTTTAAGTCTCCGCTGTTCTTTAAGGCATCCAAATTCTTCTGAGGATTGGGGTAGCTCATCTGACGCAGTGGACTAGGGTGGGAAGGTTTGGAGTGGACGGGTCTGGGGAAGGAAGAAGGGGAGTTCTGATGATGGAGGTGATTGGTCAGCAAATAGGAAGGTTGATTCACTGGAGTGAGACGCTGTGGAAATGCATGTGATGGGGACTGCTGTTGAGGATGATGGTATGACAAAAGTTGACTTTGTTGGGATTTGTTGAGAGTGGACTCGTGGTTTTGGTAAATGGCGTGGCGTTTGGCTGGACTCTGCGAGGCCATCATCATCTCCAATGGATCCTCATCGACATTTATCTCAACTTCTGCATTTCCAGCGTCATGGAGAAACTGGAAACAGTTGGTGTCTGCAGAGGAGCCTGTGTACCTTTTAGAAGTACTTTGCTTGTTTCCTGGTACAGACGCTAGTGCTGGTGGATCATACACTTCTTCGTAAATACTCTCCTCTGCCTCCTCACTTTCTTCACTCCCACCCCTCTTTCTGGTGAAGTCATCCCAGCCCAGATTGTGCACCTTCCCTAAACTCTGGACCACCTTTGCTTGAGAGGACCCTGAGCTTTTTAAGGGTGTGCTCCCCCTAGTGTCTATCTGAACAGGGGCCGTCTGCTTCCTCAGGTTGCATCCTGATACAGGCAACAGCACCTCCTCATCGAGAATGGTGTAGACCTCCTCGAGCTCAGCGGTTTCTGGGCTGGAAATGAGAGCTGGAGCAGATGATCTTGCCTGGGAAACCTTGTACGGTGATTGGATGTCATGATTTTTTTTTCCAGCTACTTTTTGGGGACTTAACGGATTCTTGTTAGATGCGGTGATGGTCTTCAGAGGTGACCTTAAATCTTGCCGTGTGGTGGGAGTGGTAGTCCTGCAGTTTGGATGACGGTAGGGGAGGTGATCATGAGATAACGAGGGTGATTGGTTTTGTTCAACGGTGCTTTCAAACTGACCAATAAGTGCAGAAATAGAGCCACATGTGTCTTGCTCATTGCCCAAAGACACAGCGTCAATGAGTCTGGAGATAGTGCGGTCATGCAAAGAACTTGGACTCCTCAGATCATAGTCCCTACTGATGGGGGAAAGAGGGGGCAAAGAGGAGGGGGCAGAGGATGACGATGACGAGATCGAAGGTGCAACTGTGAATGTTCGGCTGTTTGATGACATTTCCGGTTCATCTGATCTCTTTTGGCTGTTCGTGGAAGGCGAGATCAAACACTTTTTCTGTGCTCCTGTCTTGGATTTGACACTGTTGTTTTCTGACTGGTAATTGGCATAATCCTCTTCCTTTCTCACTTCTCCTCCACCAATAACCAGATAAGAAGCCTCCTCTGATTGGTCAACGCCATTTTTTCTATTGCTGTATTTCTTAGAAGGGGAAGTTATGTTTGGTTCAATAGAAAATGAGGATTCGATGAAAGGGTCCAAAGAGGAAGATCTGGGTCTGTCGAAGGGACAAGCTCCTGTGGGCACAGATAATTGAAGAGTCAGGGTTAGGGTGGAAAAAAGATAATATTCAAAATATTTGAACACCAAGCCAAACAACAATTAAATTACAACAATGAACAGTTCAGCCAATACAAAGAAATACACAGACAAATGGATCACCAAGTACAATTGTGAAGTGGAAGCTGGGAAATGAGGCCGAGAAGGTTAAAAAAGGAAAAATTCATATTTGAGTTTAAGACATCATATTAGAAAAAAGATGATCAAATGGGATTGGTTTGATCAAATGGGATCAAATGAGACAGCAATATACTCTCAGACCACTTTTGGACAAAATACACTGGGGGGACGCAATACTTGTATGTTTTTTGACGATGCAATCTTCAGACAATACGTATTTCAGATTACCTGCTGGAATATCCTAGTCAGTTCTCTACTACAAAAAAGCACAACAAATGAAGATGGGACAGAAAAGGCATGTTAAGGTATCATGGAGAGGCTATAGTGTCAGTTCACATGGTTATTTTACATGCACTTAAGAAAATTGAGGAAGAATAAGAGGAGCAAAGGACTGAGATTTTAAAAACACATAATAATAATCAATATGCAAAACAAAACAAATCAATGCCAAATGCTGCTTTAACACACTTCAAGCGTTTATCACTTCAAGAAATTACTTGAATGAAAAAGGGAAATTGTTTCTAAAGCCAATAGTGGCTGGTATAATTTGCATCAGATTGTTGTGGCTTGCTTGGTGTTGAATTGTGCATATTCCTTATGCCTATTAAATGGACGTAATTCTGGTGCATTTGCATAATTCCAAAAGACCTTCACTCTCTTACTATGATGATGAAAGGAGAACACCCACCGATGACTGTGTCTAGGCCCTTATCGCGTTGTTCCTGGTCTGCGGAGCAGAGCGATAGCTGTCCTTGCAGAAGTTTGTCCAAGGGCATTGAGATGGGTCTGTGGATGAGGGGCCCTCGCGGCTCGCAAGGTTTCTCCACGCCTACTTCCTTCCCTGACGTGCCTTCGGCTCTTGCACCATTCTTTTGGTCCGATATTGAAGTCACGGACTCCGACAGCACCATCTTGGTCTTCTTCCGACCCTTTGCCGGGGCACTGGCTGTGCGGCGCAGGAGGTGATCACTGATTGAGCGTTTCCGAAGGCCACCGGAGTTGGTATCCACAGAAGACTTGGAAGAACGGTTAAACAAACCCCGAATACCTCGCAGCTGATGACCCTGAGGGCAGTAAGAAAAGAACAAGAACTAAGGAGTGGATAACAAGAAAGAGGCGAGACATACTCAAATGCTTTTTTTTTTACACGTTACAGTTTGAAATCAAAGTGTCAATCTTCATGAAAACAAGGAAAAATAAACCAGGTACTGAGCTTGACTCGCATTTAATAATAACAATATCATGCTTTTAAATGCATCGCCTATAGATGGCACCCTGACTCCATAAATTACCACGACAAACAAGATTATGAACGCATGCTTAAATTGCACATGATTCCATCTCTGATGAAAATGAAATCCTCGGTAGTTTTTTCGTTTGGATGTTTATAATAACGAACTTACCAGCAAACTGCATTTCTCAGTTTGTTAATGTAACACACAAACAAGTCATTAGAGACAGCTGAACACAATCTGCACTAGCATCATGCATTGCTGTTTCATGCAGCACCACAAAGAGCCTTAGGGCACCATGGTACCTTGTTAGATCCTAGAAAGTGCATTATGGTAAAGCTGGGGTTCAGGACTAGAGGGCTCCACTAGAAAGACAAAGCATTGGGCTTAAATTGATTCACGTTGAGGGAAACACATTTCCTTCGGTTTGACAAAAGTGGGTCATAGGGGGATTGCTACCATAAATAGCAGGATACAGCACTTACCTTTCCATATACATCATGTACTGACACGTGCACAAAGATGGAAGCCTCAGTGCGCCCCTCCAAGTAAACATGTCTGTAGCCTGTTGTTAGGAATGAAAAGAGAAAAGGCTGTAAGTGATGCAGAGGGAGTAAAAGAAAGCTGTGGGTTGTTATCAGAGTAGTGAATGCGTGGTAGTTGCCTGCGGAGAGGACATCGGGAGTTCAGGGAATACTCTGATGGATGTAAACAGCCAAAAGAACCCACCAAGCCAAAGGTCTTTTACGATACAAATTATGATTCACTAGATAACTTTCCCCATAACTGCAGCACTACCGAATCCATAAATGGAAATCGTGATCTGATCGTGACTGAGTCTCCCTGTCTCTTTAAGTAGATAAACTATAATAATTCTTACTTGCAGTGACAAAGTTAAGTTCATTTCAATGATACACAAAAAATATAGCTGAAAAGACGCTGATGAATTCTGCACATACCAGGCATCAGGCTGGTGAAGGCAACAGTTCGTTGTCCAATAAAGTCTCTTCCAATTGGGTCGTGGTCCCAGACAAGAAAACGCACCAAAACCACCTCAGCCATGTGAAGTGTAAAGGACAGAGTCTCCTCCCATACTGGATTAAAACCTGAGGAAAGCAAACATATAGTTTTGTGTAATTATGATCGTCTTCAGTATCTCTTTGAAACATGCAGTATATAGAGTACACAAGACTCGTAAAGATAGAGAATGCGGTACTGATTTATGAAATGATATATTTGATGGATCAATGCCCTTCACACTAATCTTATAATACCGTTGAGCCCCCAGGGATCTATAACCTTTCCCAAAGGAGGCTTCACTGCCCCCACCCCCACCCCCAGTCAGGTTTCCTCATATGTGGGGACATGTTTGGGGTGACAACAGCAGATCCCTTTGCTCTGCGTCCTTTACGCTTCATGTTAGATCATCTGATCCAGCGGAAGTGTAAAGTAAAGACATTAAAACACAAATCAAAACCCACCTCTTCAGAGCGGCTTTTAATGTACGGCTGTTTATTGTGTGTGTGTGTTCACTGTTTGCTTGGCTTTATTTATTTACAGCTTAGCTTTTAGGATTTTTAAAAATGTTTTATCCAAAGGGACTTTTGGAAAAGCTCTATATAAATGAAATGTATTATTATTAGATTGAACTGTGTGATTTCGATCTATTTGTAAAACAGAAAAGGTATGTATTTAAAATCACGACAACAGTTATTATCCATCCATCAGCAGACACTTTTCACAGGAGACATTGTGACTTCAAAATACATTTTGGCTTCACGTCAATAGTAGCAAAAGCTCATATGTCACGGATGGCAGCAAATTGAAGTTTTAATGGTTCAACAACACAAGCAACCCCTTTCACAATGTCACGTGATGCATGGTTGTTCTAACACCAATTGTTACAGCTTTAAGACTCGTTCAAGATGATATGCTATGATATGCCATATATGCATTCTTCAGCGGGTGCACGGTGCTGTGATTTTGTTGAAATCTGTGTCTAACCGTTGTCGTCAACAACTCGGGTCTGTTCCTTGCAGCAGTCAACAGGCAGGCCGATGATCTCCACTTCGACAAATGGATCAATAATCTGAATAGGATAAACGGGGATTAAAAATCATTAATTAAATATCATTTTTATGATGCAGAATTTATTTGTAGCTAAATGCAAGTCGAACATTTGCGAATGGTCGAGCATGTTTGTATGTGTGTGTGTGTGTGTGTGTGTGTGTGTGTAAAAATAGAGATGGCGAATGCAGGTTGTGGTGTGTTTATACCTCTCCACGGTCCCCCAGCATGGAGTCTGGTGGTTTGGGCAACTGCTGTCCACTAATGATCTTGAGAATGAGTTGTTTCTTGGGATAAGCCGGAAGCGGGTCGTCACTAAATGGGTTGAAGGAACCTAGAAGAAATAAAGCAGAGGAATAACATAAAGCCGAAATTCTCAGGTCAAGTCACATATTTGTGTTTGTATGTAAGAAAGGTAAAACAAATTAATACACACATTTCTTTAACCTGCTTGACACTGTTGACTTGTGTGGCCACAGGTGTGCTCCATGAGCATCATACAGAGCAGTATTATAAACTACATTTGCAGCAAGCCCATGGAAACATTCATGCCTCCCCTGTGTTGCGTGCCTGCCTTTCAGATGGATATCTATCATCCATCTAAAAGGGAGATGCACATACGTGTTTCTGTATGAATAAGCAATGATTTGTACGCATAAATCGGTCCTTGTTTGTTTGCATGCAGTCAGTCGGTTGCCTTACCTTTACACATGGGAGGGGGCTTGAGGACGTAACCAATACCTCCGTTCACCATGAACTTGGCTCTGTTGAGCTGCATCATCCTGCCCTCTGTCTGGTAGTTCAGAGCAACTGAAAGAGGAAAACTTATTTAGATACGAAATGTCAATAAACCTCTACTGTCATCAATTATTATACAGATAATAATAATTGCATTATAAATAAACAATGAAGATCATTGAGGATGCTCAAAAGTGTGTTGCAAAAAGGATATGAGCAAACTAATTTTTCTCATTGTTTTATTAATTAAAAAGGTGTGCGAATGCAACCTAATTTGAAGATGTGTAAGGAAACCAGCGTACAGAAATTTGAAAAAAGGCAGATTTACAGTTTCAACATCTTCTGTGTTTAGTTTTTATTTACAGGTTTTAATTCCTTTCTAACAGTTTGTAGTGTTGTATGCTTAACAGAGATTTCCCATTAATAAACAGATAAGTACTGCTCTCTGAATTCAATAGATTTGTTTTTGTATTGGCAAGGACAGGCAGGGTATCCTTGGATCGCGAATCTCCTAAAAATAATAATCAGTTCTCAGTTCAGACTCTTTTTCATCTACTTATCCTATTTTTATTTATTTGAGTACTCCTCCTGAATCCTGACCAGTTCCCGTTCCAACTGTAGCCCTGCAAATAAACTGTCACGTACTCAGCTAAACCAAATACACGTGTTTACTGTATGTATTTGCTTGTTGTGTATAATTAGTGTTCATGCACACACCAATTACCCTGTGCACTTACGGCCACTGGCAAACTACACACGTGATATGTGTAAATGAAGTGCATGGTGTGGGGCGCACAGGATGAATCTGAGCATGTGTGCATGTGCTGGCGTGCAGTGTAATGGTGTTCTCATTAACAGTCAACCTCCATACAGGTGACGAACAAAAGGAGTCTTACCCAACTGACATCCCACGTTCCAGTAGAACTGGGGGTTGAAATTGGATGAGTCGATACGATAGGCTGAGGGATAAATCCGTGACAACTGCCTCTGGTTAAAAGCCAGGAATTGATCCGCTCTGTGATTGACCAGAGACTGGGCTCTGGTCTCACTGAACGAAAGAACGTCCCCTGGAGTACCTAAAGAGAAACATGCGTTAGGGGTGCAAAACTGTCGTTGAGGTCAAGATGGCAATGGGACTGTTTGTTTGTTTGCCGTTTCACCTTCATTCAGGCACTCCTGAGAGGCAACGGAGTTGGTGAACACCACGAGGTTTGACAGATCTCTACTCAGTTTCATCGTCTTCCTCTTCCTTCCCCCCCTAAGAAAACGAATGCCAGATGACAGAAGACAAGAGAGGACAGAGGAGCGGGAGTGAGAGCACGTAAGGACATGTGGGACAGGTATACCAAGAAGACATGCAAACAGCCACACACTCATAGAAAGAGGATTTTTCCATCATTGAAGCGACTTGCAAACTGCAGGCAAGAGCTTCAAGCAAAACTATTTCCAGAGACCAGAGTGCATGCAGCGGGAATCCACGCATATACAACAACACACACGCAGTCTTAACTTAGTCACATAGTTACATTCATAAATAATATGCACCGTGACAGGCATATATTGATGTGCAACCATAACAAAGACAGACAAAACCCTTTTAGGCAGAGAGAGACTAAGGAAGGAAAAGGCAGCTGAATTCTCATACTCAATGCCTAATTACAAAGAAAGAGTGGAAAAAACATGACAAAGGTCGAAAGAGAGAACTGGGAGATGTACAGATTTAAGTCGTTATTCCTTTGTTTGATTTCTAATAACAACGGAGAGAGAAAAAAATAATGTGATCTGACATGTGGAATTCGGATTAGAGTCTCCTCCATGTGTAAATATCCAATTTGAGGAACTATGGGCAGAACATTGTGATCGAACAGCGAGGCTTACACAGTGAAAACTGCCTAACATTCTTGATGACAACATTTAAAAGACAACGCGTCAAACATGACGCATAAAAGGAGAAGTAATCAAAACCAACCAGTCTCCCCTTTTTCTAATCTCTGTAGCAGCACCTGGCTTGAAATCCATCATTCTCGCAACCATAAATTAGAGCTGAAGAGGCTTTAGCTGGAACTAATGACACCGGGACAGTCGTTGCACCCGGCTGTCACCAACCATCAAACCCCCCCGGTTGTCAGGGATTGTCAGTGCAGTGGAGAAGCGGGTCAAAGGTTACCTGTTGAACTGTCCTCCGGCCTCCCGCCCAGACACCTCCTGAATTTCCTCCTCCTTGTCCGTGCTTTGGCATGGCAGCCTGGATTTGGAGTGCCTCTGGACAGTGGACACAAAGGAATATAAAGTATAAACATACACACACACACAACCACACTACACTTGGGGTACTGATGGGTGGACGCAGAAAGTCATGGTATGCATCCTTGTCTTCAGTTTCTATCCTGATAAATGTGTTGAATAAATAAACATGATGAAACATGAACTCACCAAAAATAATTGTGGAGTTGGCTGAATAAGGATTCATAAAGTGTTACTATTGGAGTAGCAGTTTGAGTGTGTAGTTTTGCTAAGCATTTTGATAATAAAACATATGTAATTATATTTGTCTATTGAAATGTGCATTTTAAACATGAATATTTGGGCTAAAGCGGAGTTGAGGAGCAGATGAGGTTCACAGTAATTACAGGCTTTAGGCTGGTTGCCAAAAGATTACATGCACCCATGCATGCACACTTATACACGCAAAGAGGGAGGTATACAAGAATGAGGAGGAAATGTGAGTGGGTAAACTGCACATGGAGAAGAGGAAGGTAAAATGTAGCCAATGGATGAGGGAAAAAGTGGAATCATTTTTGCCTGAAAAATGAGGGAGTGTAGATGTCTAACAAAAAGAAATACACCAAACCTATATTATAAAGTAAAATGAATGAATCGATGCTAACTGCATCTAAGAAAAACCCTGAAGGTTTAGACAACATCTTGTGAATTTTCACTACGAGGGAAAAAAAAAATAAGCTTAGCGAGGCTGTAAATTACATGCTGCAAATCACATCTGTAATTTACAGATGCGCATTCAATGCATCGTGCAGTGTGATGCGTATGGCGATCTTAATGGTGATTCATGGTCACGCTCTGTGTTTTGATTTTATCATGTACCACTTTATGGAAGATGTATCTACAACAGTGAAGCTTCTTTTCTGATTCTAATCAGGGAAGATCAGTTGAAGAGGCTCATCACACACTCAATGTTGAACTTCGCAGAAACGCATTGTTTTCTATTACCAACTAACTTAAATTTGCCATGTGACACCTCACACAAAAGAGCAACAATCAAACACAAAAACAGAAATCTCTCTTTCTTCTCACCTTTTGTTTTAGCGTTGTAATGAAGGATCTGCTTTGGGATTTCTTCAGAACCCCCTTGGAGCTCTAGAGACAAAAAAGACACATTCTTTTTTTTAGGTTTCTGTGTGCATGTTTGTTTACCTTTATGTGTGTGTGGATCACTGGATGTGAACCTAATCCCAACCACATTAGCACACACCGAGACACTTAAACCCTGAGGCTGAGTAGCTGGAGGGGCTGCATGAGACAACAGCCCAAAAAGCACAGCACAGTTGAAGTGGAGAGCGGGTGAGAAATGAGAAAAAGGGAGAGAGACCGAAAAAAGGCAAATTACTGTTATACAGGGAGAAACGGGGGAAGGGGATCACCAGCCGAGAGCAAAGGGAAACCCCGATGCACACCCACTACATTAAAATGGCTGTCAGGAAAGGGAAGCCTCTAAAAATAGCACAGGAGGCAAGCAGGGAGATTAAATATTAAGCACCACTGCAGACATTTAGTTTCTCATCACTTTCGATCGATTTTAACACACTTTAGATGAAAGAGCTCTCAGGTGGGAGGTCCCTTCTGAGTGGCCTGAGGAGGTCCTGTTTTACTCCATTTGTGTTGTTAAGAGAGTCTGTTTGACTTGTTTGACTTGGTGCGGTAACTAGTCCACTCTTTTATTTTCTCCATTTCCATCTGTGACTAATGCAATGGCCTAGTTTTACCCCCCCCCCCCTTTCCTTTACTCTCTTCATCTGTTGACGAGTACTGCTCCAATACACAGCTGTTTGCGATGTCTTAGCGTGTTACCTGACGCAGGTTCTTCTGAAGGCCCTGGTGAGTAGCCCTGAGCAGGGCTCGGATGCTGAAACTGTCTGTGTCTTCCTTGTCCCCGATGCGAGACTCCTTCAATAGAGAGTCCAGTTTCTTTCTGATGTGAGATTCTACCTGGTGATGACCATTGTCCTGAGTTGAGGAAGAAGAAAGCCATAAAGAAAGGGCAGAAGAAGGAGAGCCGGGCTAGAAAGTGAGACACAGCACGGAGGTAATTTCGATACAGTTGCAAGGAAACATGTATTGCAAAGAAATGATGGAGGGAAGAGTCATGTTGGTGCAACAGCACATGTTGCGGCTGACAAACAATTACAGCAGCAATTTAGGATTGCAGTTGTAGACATGTAGATGTGCATATAGAAAACAAAAGCGGGTCCAATTTTGACAACTGCACCACTTGCAGGCAATTACTGTTACTAGTTAGCTGTTATTTTTTCATCTTTCAGAGCATCGAGAGACAGTGTTTGATATTTTAACCATATCTTTATCATCGGCAAAAGTTAAATATTTTCTGCTTAATATTGGGAATAGAGCAGATTTCAAACTACTCTGAATTGTTGCGTGTGCTGAAAAAGCTTAATTCATGCTCTATTTAATTTTGGGGATAGAAAAAAAAACATAATAATAATAATAACAATAATAATCTATTTATAGACATGTTGTTGGTGTTTTAATAACCTTAGTTACATTGTGGTACGAGTATAAAATGAAAAACAGCAACTATACAGTACAGTACAAAATCACTTACTTCCCCTAAATATCAAACACCAAATAGTTTAGTCTGCAGTGAGCTGCAAATTGATATTTTGGACAGATTGTATTCCTATTATACATATTTTACAAGTCTCTATTTGCGCAGCCAGAGTATCCCTATTAGACAAAAGCTATATTGTGTTATTGATGGAATGTTGGTGGTGATTACTGTGAAAGCAGGTTTAACGAGCTCAATACAAAACCTCTCATCAGTAAAAAACCTCGCACCAGCCTTTTAAAACCTGTCATTAAAATGGCAATGATCATCCAAAGTGGCATCTGCAGCCTGGTGCCTCCAGCTAAATCCAGAAGAACGATGCCATTTTCTGAACCGAACCATCTGGGTGTGTGTAGTGTTTTCCTACTTTAAATGTGGTGAGAAGGACCCTGCCACTATACAGAAATAAATAAAAAGGATTAAGATTCATTATAAAAACGTGTCACAAGGCAAGTTCAGGAGTGATTTGCAGCCAGGAAGCAGGGACCAGATTCGCTGACATGTTTTACATGTTTCTGAGCAGCTCGCCCTTTATTTTTTAAACGCAAGTTTATGTCCCTACCATTAAGCATTAATTATTCCCAAACATTACTGCAATGATGGTCAATAAAACTTTACAAGTACCCACATTACTACCCAATTACTGGAGTCATTACTTTGTGCACAACAATGTCATTAAGAGCCCATTACCTAAATTCTGTGTGTGGAGGAATGGTTGTATTCTCTAACGTTAAGCAGCACTTTAACAAGTTAAATTACAAAGGAAAACTACCAAGACAGACAGAGAGAGACAGCAGGAATATTGAGTTACTTTTAGGTCTTTGTTTCTAAAGGTATTTTTTTGTAAAGGTGAAAATGGAGATAAATATTTTTTATTCAGAACGCTGCTGCTAGAGTTCTAACAAAGACCAAAAAATGTGAGCACATTACACCAATTCTTAAATCCTTACATTGGCTCCCAGTATGTCAGAGAATTTATTTCAAAATCAAAATCTACCGCTCACATATAAATCACTACATGGTTTAGGGCCAAAGTATATCACTGATATGCTTCCACTACATAAGCCTTCAAGATCACTAAGATCTTCTGACACCAATCTGTTAGTGATTCCCAGAGTAAATACAAATCAAGGGAAAGCATCATTTAGTTACTACGCAACAAACAGCTGGAATAAACTTCCTGAAGATTTAAGACTTGCCCCAACTCTGACCATGTTTAAAACAAGACTGAAAACTTTTATGTTCAGCTTCGCCTTCTGCTAAATTTTACCTACATTGCACTTTTAACCTCTGCCTTTAATTAAACAATTTAAATAAGATTGTAATTTATAATTTTATTTGCTGTTTTTAATTGTCTTTTAATTCCTGCATTTTATTTCACTTTATTGTATGAAATGTTATGATGTGAAGCACTTTAAGTCTGCCATGTGTATGAAAAGCGCTATACAAATAAACTTTGCCTTGCCTTGATATTTTATATTAATATATATATATATATAATATTTTTATTTGAAGAAATACTGTTCTAATTTGTTTGCGGATATATTCTATTCAAATCATTTCAGTGCGTTTGTACAAAAGTGCAAAGTGCATTTCATGTTTACAGCTATAATCCTCCGTCTTACATTACTGCTCTTCAGCTTGAAGTCATCCTCGATTTCATCAGCGCTGTCATCATCCGACACTTCCCCTTCCTCGGCGTCCGCCGAGAGATAGGCAGGTAGACTCTTCCCCTGGATGAAGAGAGCGCAGACATCGATCAACAATTCAAACCGCGTGTCTCACAACCCTCCCGTGTCTGTAGAAAGCCCGCAGAGGTTGCACGTCTGAGATAGTCAGTGCGAGCATAACGCAGAAGAACGAAGCATGTTTTACTGCGCAAATATAAAATGGCGTGTGGTTCATTCGTCTGTACTTATAGGCAGAGTGAAAGCCAATGCTGCCACATATAAGCACGCAATAGAGCAGAAAACACACTCTAGTGCCCACACAAACACACGCCCGAGCTATACAATCAGCAGCGCATTCTCCTCCAAGCTCTTCCAGCAGAGTGGAAGCCCATTAGTGAGACATTTCTGAAGGTTTAAGTGGGAGTCAAGATTTTTACAGGTTCTTCCCAAGTGGATGGCAGACTCTGAGCCTTCAGCAGTACATCGAGTGGCACCTTGTTTCAACCACGTCCACCCGTCCTTTATCCCGTCTTTCTTTGATCTGGGTAGAAAACCACTGTGCCACGTTCCCTTATTGTCTCTCTGGTCTCGTGCTTCACCGGGGGGTTGGAGACGGGGGTTAAAGGCAAAGAGGACGCAGAGCAAAAAAAACACACACGGAAAGCTTTTACTCAGAACAACGCCCGCTGTTTCTTTGTATGAACAATTGTTCCTGTGCTGGTGGGTAAAGATGTTCTGGCTGTGAGGCTATCAAAGTGAAAGTGGTATTAAAACGAAGCACATGTTGGGTCTCTTATAGAGGATTATCATATCCACAACGTTTCACGGATCGTCTTGCTGGGCACACACCTTCCTCGAGATTACAACAATGGGTGCAGTAAAGAGATAAGCTTGTGAAGCTGGACACGAGAAAAACAAACATTTAATCGGTGCTTTTGACTTTCAAAATGATCAGATATCTGAAAGAATAAAATCAATGATCTAAACAGACGACGCGTTTTTCTTGTTATAATTAAATTGTATACTTCAAAACTAAATGACTAAATACGTTCTTTGTCCCTGCTTTTAAAAACAACAACTCACTCACACTGTATTTAGAGTGTGAGTGGCCCACAGGGGGGGGTCTCTTCCCCTGGGGGGGGATGCTCTCTCACAGACATCCCACAACAGGCCCTAAGCATCAACTGAGCACAGCATATAGAACTTTTCCTCAGCGAGCAACTGGGGCGCACCGGCAGGTCAGTTATTTCACACGCTCTCTGAGGTCGGAGCGAGCGGCAAAGTCATCTTAACGACAAAGTCTCCAGAGAGGACGGCTTCGGAGACTTAAGGCGGAGCAGCGGAGAGGCAGACTGCGGCTTAGCCATGACACACGGGGCAATGCGTCCCCCCCCGGAACACCATGCAGCGGGCAAATAGCTTCCTAGAATCTAAACTCTGCTGGGTAACAGTGTGTTTCATGGAAGGCAACGTCATGATATTTATCTATTCATGGCGGTTAACGCAAGCTTTTTCTGCAACTAGAGCCAATTTTAATAATTAATAGTTTGACACCTCCTCGCCCCTCCCCCATCTGAGCCTCCGTGCAAGATGCGCTTTATAATGTTGTATGAAAAATAGAACACATCAATCTCTTTCTCAATTATCATGTGCCAGCATCTCTTCCTTGTGTACTTTCTCCACCATGGCTAATACAATGACAGTTTTGTCCTCCCCTTTTTCCTCTTGCTTCTCTTTATCGGTTCATAGCCAATAATTAGCTGCCTCGCAGTGGCTCTCCCACTCCCCATCGTCAGCACGCGAGGTTAAATGCGGCTCTCCGCTTTCGTCACTGAGATAAGAGGAAGGAAATGGAGACGCGCGATGCAGATGGTTCGCCTTGCGACCAGATAATCAATTCATTAGAAAGCTGTGATTCACCAGCAGCGTCCACAGCGTGTTCTTACTTTGATGAGTATCTTGCCCTGCAGGCTTTGAGGACTGGGCAGCGTCTTTGAATCTCTGCTCAGTGCATCTCTCACATCCAGTTTGTCTCCAAAGATTTCTCGCAGGTACTGAGCAATTTTCTTTTGCTGCTGGATGCTACAGTGGTTCTCTATGGACAAAATGACTGGGTATCTGTAAGAAAAAACAAAATATACACGTTACGATTTTATCATCTGGTAATATGGAAAACCTACAGAACAGCGAGGAGATAAATAATTTAACAAATACAGCTGCAAAAACAACTCTTCACTGGTGTGTGTTTGCCTGTGTTTTCATTTGGAAAAGGTGAAATGACTTGATGCCACATAGTCGCCCAGCTCAAATGTCAGGTTTGTCAGACTGACAGCTCTCCCTCAGGGGAACTAGTCCTTCTCTAAACTGCATCTCTGATCCACAAGAACTAACACACACACTCACGCACACATAAATGAGTTCACTGCCAAAGACAAAAAGAGACAACAGAGAAAAGAACATCCAGTCATTTCACTTTGACACCCGGACATCGACATCCAGGAGCTTCTCTCCAGTGAAACACTGAGGCGGCTCAATGAGTTGTGTTGTTTGTGTGTGTGTGTGTGTGTGTGTGTGTCTGTATGTTGTGTGAGAGAGAGAGAGATGTGGGGGAGAGCAGACTCGTTCCATTTCAATACAGCCCGGGGGCCATTAATCATATTAACATGTGGCACTGATGATAAAATATTGGCTGAATGTAAAAGGTGAGAACAGCAGAGAGGAGGAGAACAGCACGGGATGTTGGAATAATTCCGTTCTTTGCTGTCGTAATCAAGGATGACTAATCAATATGGGGTTGTTTATGACAATATGCAGATGTTTCCTCATTTGAAGCAGTAAATGTTTCCATTCATGATCGTATGGTATTTTATTTAATTTACAGAATAATAATCAATGAATGAAATAATATTATCAGCTATAACGTGTTAAGTAGAGTTAAAAGACGTGAGGCAGCAATTAACAGGGTTGTCATGGGATTTTTGGGTTGTGTGCCTGTGTCTTTATTTTGCTTCCTTGTTCATTTAAATGTTACCCTACATAAACCTATGATTGATTGGCAATGTAATTAAATCAATAATACAACATTTAGGGAAACACGCTTATTTGTTTTCCTTTCGAGAATTTGTGAGAAGATCAATTCTGTCATTTGTCAAGTTTGGTAAATATAAACTAATTTGACCAATTTCAACAAGCATCTTAGCGTAGCTTAGCTTAAAGATTAGAGACAGGAGGCCGCTTGCGTTGCTCTGTCCACAGGCAGCTATACCCACCTAAGCTAAGTTATTATCACATTTTTGTCTCCTGCTACAAGACAAAGAATACAAAATTAGAATGAGGTTAAGGAGTTTATGCTGGGCTAATATTTTCTTAAAATGTTTAATTGTACCTAGAACAACTGATCATAGATTACCTGGGAAATTGACAGAATAAATGATACGATATAAAAAACAAATGCACACTCTTATTCATTTTGTGAAACATACATTGCCAAACAAACTTAGCTTTTTTAGTTTAATCACATAGATTTAATCTGCTCCAACACTACCTAATAAATAACTGGTTTTATTACACAAGCACTCATAAGTATGGCAATAGATGTCAAAGCAAGCCAATGTAGCAGCAGGAAGCTGCATCATTCATCACTTTGTTTGGGTATTGTTGGACCCAGCAGAGACAAACGGGGTCTCCTCGGGGAGCCAGAGGAAACGCTGCACAGCAGATGGTTCAGTAATAGGTGCTAATTACTGCCAGGAATCATAGCGTTCTCTGAAAAACACCAACCTGGCTGATGTTGCAACTGTCGTGTTAAAACTTGTAGGAGAATCAAATTCAAATATATTTAGTAAAAGCTGTGTGAAAAACTCTTAACTCTTTTTATGAAGAGAAACACAGTAGTAGCTCTGCAGCTTTTGTATGAGCGAGTTGATGCATTTGTATCTGATCCCAAAGGAGGACGTAAAGCAACTCAATCTAGCGAAAGAGGGCAATATACAAAAAATAATAGAATCTGTGTGTTTGTTTGTGTCTGTGTGTGTGTGTTTGTCTCTGTGTGTAACTTGCTTCACTAAATGTCAACCAGAAATGATGTTTTAGTCATATTTATATGAGTAAGTAAATTGAAGGAGAAATAAGTAAAGGGCATTTTTATTTGCCATGTGAGACATTTTCTCCCAGAACATCGTGGAAGTGTCTAGTTGTGTCACAGGCACTCACATGCTATCACACACAACAATAGGGTTGTTGACTCACTGGTTATTTATGAAGGCATATTTATTGATGGTCTCTATGACAGACTTGAAAGGTATCTTGGAGGTCAGAGTGTAGCCGTGTTGGACCATCGGCTCTCCATCAGGACCATCCCAACAGTCCACTACAGGGAAAAACAGAATAAATGATGGAGGAATAACACGGCATCACGTTACTGTTCTCAGCGTCCCGCCTCTTCTCACTGTGCAGCTTTGAGTATTGGAAAGAATATTTCAATTATGCTTGACATCTCAGCTTACTCTCCAAAGAACAGTTGTATAAATATATTATGTGACATTAAAACATACTTCTGTATACAACCCTTGCAGGGTTTATTTTTATTCCACTTTTAGCACGGACCAGAGCTTTTTTCACAATTAGAAAGCTGCTTTTCCAATTAAATCAAGTCAATTAAAATTGACTTTTTCACAGCAACTACTCTGTTTTGAGTCATGACATTGGGACAGTAATGCATGATGCAATGGTATCACAAACCTAAAACGGCTAAATACAATACAACCAAGCTTCATTTTATTATTCACACCTTCACACTTCTCCTACTGTGACATGTCAAATGGGAACAGCTTAATATATGCAGAGTCAGATTAGATTTGCAAGAGGTTCATATGAATACCTTCTACACAGCGGCATCCCGACTGCAGCACCCAGGCGTACATGTCGACCTTAGAGTGGGAGAGTAGCTGGTCCCCAGTCAGGTATGTGTTGTGACTGGAAGCGATGAAGTAGTTACACAGAGGTTGCTCCATGTCTTGATTCACCTCGTGGTGCAAAGGGTTGAAAATATCACATGTGGGACTGCGCATGAAGCTTGTAAAGCCTGGAGGAGAATACAAAATGATGATGGAAATAAATAACGTAGTAAGATAGGCATTGTCGGAATATTGTAAAGTTTTAATTATGTTTTATTGCATAATTTATTTTCAGTCATGTGGACGGAAATGCTGTTGCTCAGTGTCGGTGCATCACTTGTCAATACTAAACTATTGGATGGATTGCCATTAGATGTACATATACTCCTGCATTAGATATAAAATTAGACATTTTAAAAAACTATTTAAAATGATTTATAAATTACTTCATCTCCAGAAAAATACCTCTCATAGGGTGAGATTAAAGGGAAATATGCCAGAAATCAAAAGCAGACAAAAAAAAAGAAGCAGACATGCGGAAAAGGAGAAATGAGTCTTTAGTGATCTGACTGGTTCTTATCATGGGGCCATCAAGGCTGAATTCAGTACACCGTATATATTATTATTTATCATAAATATTGCAGGTAACAGCCTGTCACACTTTACAAACATGTTAATCCTGATTTGTTTGTTCGCTGTCACATCTGTGCAAATTACATATTTAAACACACATGTCTGGCCTGCAGGCACATCGGTCCGGTCAGTCAGACACTCACAGTTTAGCTGCCGGGCCTCCAACAACAAGATTAGTCTCACACTTCCTCCAAACCTTCACTTCTCATCTTCCCATACTCCCTCTTCTCTTTTCTTTCACGCTCTCAATTTCATTTTTCCCAGAGCCCTCATTCATACTCCAGCTTCCCTCCTCAATCCTCAATCCTTCTCCCTTATATGAAATATGTAATATTTACTTGGTGTGGGTTTCCCCTTATGAGTCTGTGTGTGTGTATCAGCTTAACAAAATGTGGTCCTGGACACACACACCACAGCAGGAGTTTCCTCGGGGAGTTATTCATATCTCTCAATGTCCGTCTGACGACAGATCTGGTCCCTGCGCTGACGGTCTCCAAACTTGGTTTGTGCGGAGTTGAGATCAAAATAAATGAGTTGGTCCCGAGATGCTTCTTAAAAACTAAGCTAGGGAAATATATATGCATATCTACCAAAGGATTTTCTGAATTATATGTAACTTTTGACTGTAATGCAGACATTTTTGAGGATTTGGAAAAAAAGGAGAGAACTGAGGGAACGTAAAAGGGATAGAAAAGACAAAGAAAATAAAATAATGTTCACCGTCAATTCCCAAGACTCCGCTCTGCTTATTTTCATCGGACATCTCAAACTTGTCAATGATTTCTGCAACATACTCTGGAGCCACATTGGTCATCTAGAGAGAAAAAAGAAAAACATAATTTAGACTTTGAGTGATTTAACCCCTTTGTAAGTGATACCTGGAGTCAGACTCATTTCCATTTGTTTAGCTATAAATGACAGTTAGCAAAGGCAGGAAGCGGTTAATATCGCATGATGAAAACTGACACTATTGCCGTGTAAGAAAGAAAGGAATTTGTCGAAAACATAGAGAAAAACACTTAAAGTGAAAAAGTGTAAAGAGAAATAGAAAAATGGCTCCCATGAGAAACAATTTTAGGCGTGATGGATTGACTTCCTCTGGACAGACAGCTGAGGTAGAAAGAGCTAACTGTTAGACTGGTGAACGGAGAAAAGGAGTCTCATCCTTCTCGTTTGGGTGGTCGTATCTCAAATTGAAACGGCTTTCCGGGGTAGACCTTTAAAATGCGTTGGGTCTAACTTCACTGTGTGAGTCTTTTATTGCCTTTAACCTGAGGCTCCTCACCTTCTGCTCATTGCGCAGGAGGTTGGCCAGCTCCTCTGCTGTCAGGTGATCCTTCCTGTCGCTGTACGCCATCATCAGCAGGAACAGGTCTCGTCTCAGAGACATCATCTTGTAGAAGACGGAGAACTCCTCGTACGTCAGCGTGCCCTGCTGATCGTCCGTGTCCGCTTCCTGTGAGGATGTGGAGGGGACATGTGATCACATGACACATCTCAGCGATCATATTGGGAAGGGAAAGTACATCAAATACCTAAAACACATGGACAAAACTTTTTTGTGTCATCTTAATCTTTATCTGCCGAGCATCTTTGCCGCAGCTTCCTTTTCTGCCCCTTCGCCACTTGCTATAAATTGTCTTATGATTCAATAAAAGCGATCCGAAAGGAAATCAGCCACTAAGAACACATTGTCAGGCTGAATAGATGTGAGTGAAATGTAAAGGTTTCAGTACAGTACTTATTGGGATATGTGATATAGTCAAAAAACAATTAGCCAATATCAGCTAAAATCTAATAACTAATATCAGACAATTTGCGGTATAAAATGAGCTCAGACCTGTCGGCTACGCACGAGGGAACATATGCGCAGCTGCAAACAATCTTTCCCTTTGTCCTTATGAGACAAACACATTTCTTCTTCAAGCAGCTGCTTCTCGCCTCACCTCATATCTCGCGGCCGCTGACAGCGAACCTGCTCGCACTCTCGGGCCACCCCGCTCTGCCCGCTCGCTGGGCAGCAGCTCATTTTACCTGGATCTCACACGGGGGCCCATTGACTCCACACCAAATCTAATAATACCAGCTAATGCATCAATCACACTCCCATAATGAGCTTGCTGCGTGCTTTTGGGATTCCATCACAGAAAGCATCTACACACGACCAGCAGGATAAATCCCTGTGACTTCATCATAAATGCATGGACCGAAAATAAAGAGATCCAGAGTATATCAAGCAACTGCACAAGCTGTCCCTGTTTGCTACGCTGTTATCTGCCAATGCTTGAATATCAGAGCAAAATTAATAAAATGCACCATCTAATCTCAACCCATAGTGAATTATTTATAGAGAAAAATGATAGTTTAGCCAATTATGCAGAGATACGAAACTGTATGAATGATAAGCTGCTCGGGGTTGCTGAAGGCTTTAAAATACGCACTGCAAGGGAATTTCAATTAGACGGTTTTAAGATCACGATTAGCTAAATTACAGATATGTTGTCATCTTTTTTTTGTATAAATTTCATTGCAGACCTAAATAAATTAACATTAAGATTCAGTTAGAGCGCACACAGTGCAAACATGTGGCATTGTGATCTATTTAGCATTATCATAGTAATTCATTTGCTCATGGTTGACCAGCTTTCCTTGTTATGGTTTCATCTGACTCATCAACATCTGCCTCTATGGTGACTTCCTTGCATTTATTGACGGTATTTTTGACTTGTTTAACCCCTAAACCACAGATCAAAGAAATATTCCCGTCTGATGATTAACTTTCTAATTAACATAGCTGTTCAGTCAAGCATGCCTGCTAGAGTAAAGGTAAAAAAACAAACTATACCTCCATTAGAAAAGCCGAGGACGCTGTATGTAGATTTCTGAACTCACTCAATGTGACATTAGTTTTAAAAATTGAATCCGCTCGCTGCGCACTTCATCTATTTCCACTTAAAGTGTCCCACTCGCGCATGGACATATTAAATATTTCTCGCACACGTATTTCAGGAATGCACATGAAAATTTTAAATGCAACGGTGAGCTGACGTAAGTGATCTCAAATATTTAACAAGGAAGTTGATGTGTTCGATTGAAAGCAAACCACGTGTTTATTTAATAGAGGGCTTCACGTACTGTATGTATGCACGTGTTTTGATATTTAACTTCCGTTCACAGCTACAGTGATGCTCCATAACCTCATGTAAAATCAACCTATTGGATTTGAGATGTCAAATAATGAAATGAAAAACACAAGAGCTCCATAATTTCACCTGAAACATTTGTTTGACCTTCCTGCGTGGCAGATTGACATTCAGCTTGTGGAGAAGTTGGTAGACCTCTTCGATGTTCAGGAGACCGTCTCCGTTCTTGTCGGCCTCCTCGAAGGTCTGCTTCAGCCACGTGAAACCCACGTTAAGGAAAAAGATAGTCAACTAAGAATGATGTTTTAGGGATGCCGGTTGGAGTTGGCACACTGAACCACCGGAAAAGAACGGGGGGCTGAAGGATATTGGTCGTGTGTCCGCTGTCGCCTCGCCAGCGAGTCCTCGTCACTGATGCCGGCCATCAGGTAGCGGAGGCCGGTTATCCAGGTCCGGGCCTCCTCTGCGTTGGAGGTCACCAGATCGAGGGACTCCATGTGGTTTCCGTGGTACACCGTGAAACAGCAGGCCGGGTCGAAGCTGCCGTCTGCATGCCGATGGAAGATGTCTGATTGACTGCCCTCTGTTACTTTGTAGAGTGAATCTATGGTGACTGAGGAAGGGAAAAGACCAACTTGATTATTTGTGGAAAGACACTAATCATTTTGGTTTCGTGTTGACACGAATCGCAACTTGAATGATGAAGCTGGTGGTATCCTATGTTTCGATTTACAACTTTATTAGCCACAGTGTTGCACCTGAGGACAAGTCCCTTTATTTACATGAAAGTGTCCAGTAGCAGTTTTTTTTCCACTAATGAGAGTATACGTGCATGTGTTTTACCAAAAGCTAATATTAGTAAACCTGAAGTTAAAGACTTACTGTTCAGTAGGAACAATTGAGAGAGTTCATCTCTTTCCCTGATTTCCTCTATCATGTGTTGAAAAACATAGTAAACAGTTGCTATTGTCTTTGGAGTTAATCAGAGTCAAATAGGATGGCAGTATGAACTAAGCTATTTTGGATTCTCTGTCATTGTTAGTTAAAACAGCCAAAGCCTGCAGTAAAATGTGTCCTGTTCTGCACATCATACCCTTCAACTAGCTTGTCTTCTCCTCACGCTATGCCTCTCAGATCTGTCTCATTCCATTAATTTGATTTGTTAATGTTCCTCATCATTGCATTAATGTGTTTTTTCTCAAAACAACAGACTCCTTAGGATTTTGAAAAATATGATTATGTTTTAATGGTTGATAAAAGAATGAATGACATGCTGAGTCAATTAAATAAATTACCTTCTTATACAACCCAAAAAAATAATTTAGTCCTTATCCATGCTAAAATGATCCCAGTCCAATTCCACATTACACTCTGCTCCCGTTACATAATTTCAACTCATACACCCCGATATGACAAAAAGTAACCAGATGGCAGCCTGGCAACACAAACGCACAGGAGGACATACACTCAAAGAAGGAGCTGGGCAGCTGTTTTATTCTCTTAAATCATGTCAATGGAGAGTTTCTAAGAGGCTTATGTAATGCTGACCGCCTACATACATACACACGCACACGCACACACCCTATTTGATCACATGCATGGTCAGGTCCATAGACAGATCTATGAATCAGTTGAAAGAAGAAGAGAAGAGGAGACCATGAATTAAATGATGATTATCTCCTCTTTGTCAGAGCCCTTTGTGACATGATGCCTCTCCACTTTGAAGGAGTTCGATCAAATGCAATGGATTTTATTTAAATTCCTCTTGTAACTGTAAAGTGCTTGAATTTCGTATTGACTCACTGCACAGAAGCTACAGCTGTTACACAGACATGTTTAAGCAAGCAGCAAGCAGGTTTTTGGTTGAATGTAAATAAACATCTCTCTTACTTAAGATACTGCTGGTGTCATAAGGTGACTAATCAACATCCTTAATAATGTAGTTATTGAGAACGGACAACAAAACCATTTTTATAACAATACTTTTTTTTCAACAAGCCAGGTTTGGTAACGGCCCGTTCCAGGAGCAATGTCTACAACTATTTGCTGTGTTCTGCATCCTTCATGTTTTAAATCCAAGCCTCTCCTTGCTTAGTCGGATTGGCAGCGTTTGTGCCGTTAGACGTGCTTTGAACGTAGAACGTAGCATCTTCAAAGGCAGAACGAGTAGAATCTGTCAGCTGCGATTTGCAAATCCCCACATTTAAAGTTGTCCCCTCCACCTCCGCCGAGCAACACTAGAAGCAATTAGTTTGAGAGTACTGGCCAACCCCCGATTCACACACTCCTGACCTGAATGATCTTTGTCTCCTTAGTGTTCCACCTCCCCATATTTAAGATATTAAGAGATTAAGATATCCAGGGGTTTTTTTCCCGCATAATGCAGGAAACCACAGATCTCATGATTCAAGCTGATATCTTCCGTTAGACCTCCATCTTTCCGACTCCACGCTGGGTGTGTACGTGTGGTGCACCCATGCATACTCACTCTTGGCCTTCTCACTCTTCCGCGAGGGTTTCCAGCGGATGCAGGAGCGATGATCATCCAGGTAGAAAAGTCTCACCAGTCCTTTGGATCCCGCCTTCAGCTTCACCATCTGCGTCCCGGACTGCATCACACTCATGCATCGCTCCACTGCGGAAGAAAACACACAAACACTGGGCTTCAGTGGAGCACACTGCGTTGAGGCACAAAGGGAACAGGTGTGTGGCTTTACTATTTTCTCCTCAGGAGGAAGTAAGGCAAAGTGTCACAGCGTCGCACATTAGCGACCAAGCCAGCAGCCGACGTGGGTCGGAGTCCAAACCGCAACAGAAATGCTACTGTTCGGACACACAGCGCCGCCTTTCTCTTTCCCACCGACTGCTACCGTGAGAAGGAATAAAGCGGGAGCTCTCACAGAGAGCGAGAGGGACAGAGCTGTGTGTCTCCTTGATCCGAGCTTCACAAGAGACCTCGAAGGCTGAGGAAGCCGTGCTGAGGCAGGTGGGAATATAGGCTGCAGAAAATAGAGCAAAGAAGGCTTTTATCTTGCAACAACAATTCAAGATGTTGGTTTACCAAGTCAAAAAAAATTTTTTTTTTAAAAACATCTTTGCTACTTGCCTCTGCAGATCGTTTTGCTTTCAGCCTTTTCGCCGATACAAAAGATTTTTCGATTTAGTTTGCTTCAAAAAATACATTTATAAATTCCGAGAAGAAGTATCTATCCAGACTTATTGTCCCAATTTTTAGTTATTCTTAAAACTCCGTTTGATTTTAAACCCGTCCCCTGGAGGTTTGTGGCTCACCCAGAGTAACAGGAACAAGGATTCGGGGAATGAAATATTGCTATGACATTAGACCAACACCGCCGCATTTTCATTCAGAACTACCTGCATGACTAGATGGAGTTGGGATAGGGGTAAGTAAGAACATCTCTGGTTTTGCTTCATTTGCAATTTGAGAAAACTCACCCTCACTCCATGCAGCTACCCAACAACAATTGAATGTTGGATAGCTGCATGGAGGCTGCGTTAAATACTGAGGCAGTTATAACAGTCTCTGCCCCATCAGCTTCAACTTCAAACCCCTCAATTCCTGTAACAGTCTACAAGCTACGTAATACACCTTGAAAAGTAAACCTGATTTCTAGCAGTCGTCTACAGGCGATGGTTAAATTAAAGACACTTGGATTGAAAATAACAAGAGACGGTGGAGCGTTCTACGCAGGAGAACGCAGTGAGTGAAATAGTTGTGAGAAGTTACTTTGTGTTTGTCTGCTCGACAGGCTGCCACTGACCAGCATGAAGAGAGGATAAAAGACAAAACGTCAACTTTGTTCTTTCTCCGACAGCTCGTGGCAGAGATACAGACAAAGGGATGACAACAGAGAGATGGTGGGATTCCCATCCTCATTAGTAGATTTCGTCCATGCGAGCCTCTGCGTGTGTGTCTGTGTGTGTGCACGTACTTTAACATGTGTTTCAGTGTAAACGAGCATTTTGTCTTTGTGTCTACAGTATGCATCAGTACACATATAAAGCTCATCATTTGTCTTTACAGAACATAAAGCTTAAATAACAACATTGTCACATGTGGTGATGATAATGAAGATAATAATAGATTTCACTCAGTACCACCTTGGCTGTGAAGTATTCATTCCATTCTGCGTCATTATAGTCGGAAGTCGGAAGCTATGACTTTTTCTTCTCTTAAACATGAGTTTATCTTGATTTTAGGTCCTGACTGGAGTGAAAAAACATAAACAAATATAATTGAGGCGAAAACTGGCTGATTGCATTGTACAAAATATTAGTTACTGAAATTCACCTTTCAAGTATATGAGTTAAATCAAAATCCTATCTTCAAAATTGTTTCCAGTCACAAATGACAAAATGCAGAGATATATATTATATTGGGTAATATGTAATATATAAATATATTGACATTGACATTTTGATATGCAACTGTGTCTGTTGTAGCTGTTCTACCGTTGTCAAAAATAACATAATATTTTGTTATTTATGAAAAATATCAATGTGTAAATATTTTGCACCAATGATCAATTTCATTTGCAATATTGACATCGAAGTACTTGCCCGGACATTTTCCAAATTATTTTTATCCAAGAAATGACTCATAATGGTTTATGCTTTAACTAACATCAAATGGTACCACAATGTAAGACAAAGATTATCTTAAAAGACAGGTGATGTCGAACCTCTGTAAATCCTTGCAGAATACATTACAGAAAACACACTGAGCAAAGTACTTGTTAACAGACCGCCGGGCCTCAGGGGGGGCTTAGCAAGGACACAAATGTTATTCTTGAATTTGAGAGTCCTTTCAGTTTCCAGGGATAGTATTATAGTATTACACACACACACAAGCATAAGCTAATAGCCATGCATGGCGAATGCGTCACAATGGTCACAACCATGTCAATAACACAATTGGAGTATGTGGGACGAGAAACAACCAACCATGTCATCCAAAAATAAATGAGCTATTGGCTGAGTTTAATGTAGTTATATCTTCACCAAAGCTTCACCAAATCTTCACCAAAGTCAGCAAAAACCTGACTGTGAATCTATGGTCACATTTCTGAAGAGGAAAAATGTCTGAAGCCGCGTTCATACATTTTGGTAGATATCAAGCAACATCGGCCTTCGTTTGTGGAAAACATGAACAAATTCTCAAGCATGTCGTTAACTGTCTGAGCTGAGTTGGGTGAAATTTCTTTGCGTGCTTAACAGTATACTGAGCATTCCCATTCACATGATCCATTGCCATTTAAACCATTTTTCTAGTGTGAAAATATTGCATAGTCTAGTTTAAAGCCTCATTAGCAGCACCCATGGAAAATCTCAATTTGAAGCTGCTGTCTGTTTCACTTGTAATGATCATAGACAATAAACAAATAAAAGGTTTCGCAGGTGATAGTCAGGAAAAACATGAGCCAAATGTGCATAATATCCATTGATATAAGAAAAAAGGATGTGAAGCTAAAAGAGGCTGATAATGACAATACTGGAGAAGAGTATAGATAATGCTGTATTACAGTATACATTTAATGTTGAGATTAACGGTAACTTTGTCTCTTAAGCTTTTATCATAGTCATTATTTAATCAATTAGCACATTGTAGGAATCAATAAAAAACTGCTCACTTTGGTAAGTATTGTATAGAATTAAAACTCTTCAGAGCTGCAGAAAATAATGAGACACTGCAGACTGCGGCAAAGATAATGAATTAGAACCAAGAAATAGATTGTTTTGAATGTATTTATCTCATGTAGCTCCTTCTGAGATTCACAGCCTCCAAGGTCCTTGTCAAATATGGGTTCACTGTAGTATTGATTACGTCCTCATCCTGTGCTCAAGCAGGTTCTTCAGGGGATCGGCAAACCTAAATCATTTTTTTCGTGCTTACATACGTTTCAACATAATTCAGGGCCAAAGCGAAAACGTGTTGTTTGCCATCACCAGAGAGTACATGCACATTCTCCCACAATTCCAATTGAGTATAAATCATTGAAAATCCAAAAGACACTCAGAAATATTTCACAAGAAATCTCTGAAAGGGAATATCGAGGTCTGCTTTATTTCCATCCAGCTCAACAGCCAGTATGAACTTCTCTCCAAAAGTAGGGGATTGACACATGAAAGGTATCAATAGTATGTTTCATTGTGTTGAAAGCAAAGAATACTACCGGTTTTACTTTCTCTTTTCCAGTGGTATATCTGTCTTTGTTACTCCTTGACGTTTTTGCAGGCACTCTTCAGCCACTTTACTCTCCATCAGCTACGATAACAACCGTGAAAAGTCAAACCTCAAACCTATTGAGGATGAAGGTGGCAAAGCAAGAGACCCCAGGAGAAGTGACAGCAGGATTGATATCCGGCTAAGAGAGCGAGGGGAGCTGCCTGGTAAGATCAAGATGAGAACTGATGTGGCTCTCAAAAGAGCAGCGATGGCTGAATCAAAGGATCAGTGAGTGCCCATCTCGAGCACTAACGCTCAAACCACCTGAGCGTGAGGACTTAAATACACCACAGTTTAGTTAAACTCGTAATTCTGATATCTTGTTTTGACATATACGGATTTAATGTCTTTTGAGGGCCACCTAGCACTTACATGCAGGTTATGACTCCTTGTGCTTTTCCATGGGTGGTCACAGCATCTCTGCTTTGGCCGTTTGCTCCCTGCAACCTCACAGTAAACACAAACAAGCAAAGTAGCAAAAAAACTGGAATTTAATAAGAGAAAAAAACATGCAAACATCTTTTTTTTTCCCGTCCCACCTCAACCTTTTGGTTCCTATTTCTTTTGAGCGACACATAGTTTTCGTTCTCTGTGGGTTTGTCTTGATGTGAACATTCGTGCTCCTGTGCCTGAACTCATCACCTCTGCGGATGCAGAGCAGAGTGGAGCACATCAAAGCTTTGTCTTGACACAGAGGCCCAGGCAATTCAAACATATTTTAATGGGGGTGATGGGGACGACTCTGTGATAACCTGATGAACAAAGCCGTCCTCCCTTAGATCCAAACAACAGCGGTGAGGCCGGGACGGTAAACAACAGCCTCCACAGCGGTCCTTCGTTTTCAGTCCAAACCGTCATTTCCAATCTCAACAGGATGAGATGACGGTGAGAGATTCCTCTGGGAGACCTTTGTAGCCTTCGGACTATTATTCGAGTTAATTATCAGTCAGGAGTAATATTTTAATTCTTGAACAGCTCTTCCGGATATCTTCATTAAGATCTGGTCAGAGGTGGATGACTCCAATGGACCACCGAAGATTTACATAAATTCATATTCAGCAGCATCTGCCTGATCCTTCATGCACTATTCATGTGACACAAGGCGCCAACCCTAGAACTGCCCGAGCCAGTCGGCCTGTTGATGAAACCCAAACAGGGCAATCAAACCAAGATAAAAGGGTCTGAATGTAGGCATGTTATGGTAATTCGTCACTCAATGCTCCGGTAGCTCTCATGACCTGAAGGTTTGTTTTGTGTCCTGAAGTTTAAATCAAAATGCGATCCAGTTTTGGTTGACTACACACACAGGACAAACATTTATTACATTTACACAAAATGATTGCTGTGAAAGGTGGTAAAAAAAAAAACCGCAGCAAAATCAACACACAAGACAAATGTTCTCCTGCTTGAGCAACATCCCATCAAGACGAGCGCTACAAGTTCAAAGGCACGGAGGCCAAAAGTGAGCAGTTTGATTGTCCTCGGGATGTTCTGATACATAAACATGCGCTCATTTCAACAAGCAGAATGTTCATTATGCAACACACACACTTAGTCAGTAGGAAACATCCGGCAGAATACGATTTTTACAATTTCAATATTAAGAAGCGGAAAAAACATTCTATTAGTTAGTTGAATGTGTTTCCTCCAGGTTAACTGAGTTTTAGCGTCTAGAATCACAAACACACACACACACTTACCAATTTGTGTAAGCCTGCATTTCTGTGGCACAGCCAGAGTGCCACCAATATGGTAGACGTTACGCGCCAGGAGAGTCGCGACTGTTAACACGGACGGACCGTGAATAAAAGGAGATCGAACTTTATTAGAAAATAATGCAGTGGGACCAAAACTTTTTTCCTCCATTGTCTCTGCGGAAAAGAAGAGTCCTCCTCTGCTCGGTCCCAGTGGGCAATACACTCCACCGGAAGAAAAACGCTTTCGGTTTTCCTCAAGTCGGACTCGACAGACGCTCCAAATCGGCAATCGGACAGAAAGACGCCACGATCCAGACTACAGGTAATCACCCCAACACCCTGCTGTCCATCGTCCTCTGATCTGTGGCGGCACCTTCAACGGACGTCTGTTCCCCACGCCCCCTTCCTGCTCTTCCCATCCACCTCTCTCTGATCTCTCAGAAGACGTGCTGCCGACACGCTGCCCTGATCAACACACTCAAATCCACCATTCAAAAACTCATTTTTGTGTAGTTTGTGGTGCGATTATGACGAGTGGAGCGCGACAGATGTGTGTCTCCGCAGCAGAGTTCATTGAGGTCAACCAGTGGGGATAAGAACGATGATATAACATTTGTGATAATGCATTACTACGAGTAAGAGTTAATGGGTTGAGTTAATGGGTGTGTGTGTGTGTGTGTGTGTGTGTGTGTGTGTGTGTGCGGTCCATCTGTCCGTCGTGAACTAAACGCTCTTCTATTTCACACAGGCTCACACAGGCTTAGCCCTACTGAGGGGGAAGTCCTGTGTGTCCACTTTTCACTGCACGGAGGACAATGATATTTTAATACATTACAAGTCATTTAGCTGACGCTTTTATCCAAAGCGACTTTCATTGCATTTAACCCGCACAATGGGAGCAGCGTGCTGCCCGGCCAGCAGTCAGGGCTTGGGTGTCTTGCTCAGGGACACTTGGGACATGGGACGTGGAGCACCAACCTCGCACCCTCCCTATTCCACGCGCCACGGTCGCTCCAGGTACTGGACCACCAAAACAGAAACGGACCATTTTTTTAGGAAAAACGAAACACGATTAAAAAAAAGAGAATGTCATTTGACTGAATACTCAAGTAGCTTCATTTTTCTGGAAAAAAAAGGGGCTCAATGACGAGCTATATTGAAGATGCGAATAGATAAGGGAATGATTAACCGAATCAGCAATTCAGGCACAGCTGGAGGCATCAAGAAGAGAATACAGCAAGAAGAGCACGAATACAGGAACATTTCATGTTGTCTCACGTGATCAACATGGTTCCTGGCAACTGTAATGCTGCCCAATAAGGAGCACCGGTTGTTCAGGATGGGATTCCATTGTGATCCATTTGAGCATTTTCTCATGTGGCACCGCTATCAGCAGTCAGTTCCTTCTGAACCAGATTACCGAAACAAAATATAACTGGGACAAATATTGGAGGGATTTTACAGACATCTATGTCTGTAAAAATGTCATTGTATTAGCTTTGATCTCCTGGCTTTCCGTTTAAGCTCCATAACCGGTTTATTATTTGCTTTTCGATAAATAAATAAAAAAGAACACCATGCAGCCGTAGCTGGTTTTTCACCTGCTAAACAGCAACAAGGTAACACCTTATCATTGCCAAAGACCAAATTGGTTTTCAGGGTTGTTTGTTTTCCTTTTAATCATACGTTCATTTAATTCTACCAACTAATACACCCCAGATATCACGAATAACATGAATTTCTTAGTGGCTCTGATAAACAGCTGTTATGAGAAACAATAATAACAGTTAATCCGTGACGATGAAAATGACAGTTTATGAATGTCAACATCTCTTCGCATTCTACAGCGGATTATTTGTTAGTGAGTCTTAAAATATTCAGATGGAAATACATTTTTACGCCAACTAATTACGTAATGCCTGCATAGAATTAGTCAGACATATTTGGGGTGTGTATCCTCTTATTAGCAACAAAAAAAAGGTTAGGATACACAGGGAAATCAAAGGAAAAAGAGGGAAAGCGCACATACTGTTATCACAGTCGCTCAATTCTTCTAATTAAGAGCACCCAGGGCTTCGCTCAACCCGGCCAATGCTACAAATGGGTTCCCAGGTCCCCTCAGGGGGGGGGGGGGGGGCAGAGGGTCCAGAGCAACAACGGAATGAAAATAAACTCATAATAACTACGGCATGATAATGCATTCACCAGGGATGCTACCCGGGGCTCCCAGAGTGCCAGAGTTGAGCACAGACATCAAAGGAGGGAACAGAAGCCGGAGTGTTTTGTTAGTGTGTGTGTGTGAGTGTGTGAGAGAGAGAGACTGCATGAGTGCGTGTGAGAGTGAGTGTGCATGTGGGGAGGATGGATTCCTAAACCAGCCTGTGTGACTGAGACTGGATTGAGATACAGTATCTACAGCAGCGATACTCACGTGCAAACTGCGATAAATGTAGGAGACAAGCTGCATCCCCTGGTTTTCTGCAAGTGCACCAAGCTTCCAGTACCTTATAAGCTGCTGAGGGAACGGAGGTGAATGAAATAAAAGCCAGTGGTCAGGTATAATTAGCTTCTTATTCCTGGCGTATACACCAGAATACTGTATCCGTAGACGTGCCGTGCCGCCTTTTAGAGACGACAGCCTCCCTGTGGTTTTGTAGTTGATGTTCCACATTCACCACTTGATGCAAACACAAATGTGAGGTGACATTGGCCAAGTCAAGTGGCAGGTAAAAACAGTAACTCTATGTCAGTAAAATGAAATACAAAATGTTGTGTTTCAGCTCTAAGTATACACAAGGAGTTGCGTTAGATGATAGACGATGGACAATTCAATATTTTGTCTAAACTGGATGCAGCCGGGGGGGGTGGCAGAGGTAGAGTATTGTCTAAAATGATTAATTACAACATGGGATTCAGCACCAGTTCTATAACATAATTCTAAAAGAGAGTAGTGATCATTGAAAAACGCTGGTACTACCTCAGCTTTGAGAAATGTCCCTCAATCTGACATCTGTCACAACTCAGCAGCTATTTGACATGCAGTACCTGTGTTTTGGTACATTACGTCTTCAAAAAACTGGTGACAATGAAATGTTTAGGAGAGGAACAAAAAGGAGGGGAAAAAAAAGAGGAGGAGAGCTGAAAAGATGAGAGTGTTTTCCTCCCTTGGTGTCAGTTAGCTGTTTCTCTGCCCTGGAGCGACAGAAAGGAAGAGGCAGAGACAAAAGGGGGGGCGCATGCTGCGATTCATCATCATCATCATCTGTACAGGGGCGACACATGAGGATTTTCACATTTCACATGGAAAAGCTATTTCCTCATGTGGAGGAAATTAGCAGCCATCCATGTGCCTCCAAACATGCCTCCCTTCATCATTCTCGCTCTCTCTCAGCAAGGACTCGTCTTCTGTGTTGCTATAATGAATTAAGAGGCAGCCCTTTTGGCCATTGATGAAAGCAGGACCCTCCCTCTCACAGCACAATGCTCAAATAGATCTCTGCGCTGGAGGGGTGAAGACCGACGGCTGGACACATCCTGCTTTTTAAGTGCAAGGGATGCGGCATATTTTTGACACTAATAGCCAGGGGACCGATTGGACTTCAATTTTGTCATCAAAGCTCCACCCGAAGCTCTGTCAGAGTGTGTGGTGCTCAACAAAGCCCCCGCGTGGGTTTCAAGGGGTTCCTATTTTGGCTGATGCCGATGTCACAAAACAGTCGGCTTCTGTTACTGAGTCTTGGCATGTGGCAATGCTATGTGGTCTGTCAGCAGGCAGCTTCTCTCCCAGGGCGCCGCAGCGCCTCAACCCGTAAACATCTCAGAGGGTTCTGTGACCACCGTGTGGGATGCGGAATGGTATACAAGAGAGAAGGACCCCCCCACACACACCTATGTGCTGCTACAGTATCTGAGGGCAGAGTCTAATCAGATCAACAGAGTGAGAGGCTTTTCTGCCCCCTACTGACAAGAACAAACGGGCATTCTGAGGGACAGTTTCCCGCTGCTCCAGTGGTGCAGTTCATCAAGAGCTTTCATATAAAACTGACAAAAGCAGTTTCTAAATCAAATTCATGTAAAACGTGTTTTTTTAAACATAATTTGCACATTGTGTACCCACAAATTTCGAAAAACATTAGTATTATAAGCATTACAGAATATAGACTTAATGTTAATCGACAATCCTCAATTAATCTATAGTTTGAAATGAGGGGGGTGTCATTTTCCACAAACGCAATGGAGAAATAACGCATGGGGCTTCAGCTTGCAAAACATAGGCTACTGGGCATCTGGAGGAATGCGCGCCCCGCACAGCATTGCTCTCCATATGTGACTGGAAGACCGGAAATATCAAAACGGGGAAAAGGCTTGATTCTAACTTAAATTAAATTCTAACTTACCCTTCTCCAAACTGAGATTTCTGCAAACTTCAAGTTCTGCCATTTAGGAGTCGAGTTGCTTATCTCACAAGGTTCCTCCATGCGTTTTGGACATGATGTTTATCCCCTAATTGCAGCGACTCGGAAAAACGAGCGAGCCATGCCCGACGCGTCCATCACTCCGTGATGATGACTGGACGCCCGCGTGAAAATGCGCCATATTAACGAAGTGTCACTTTTACTGTTCGACAAACGAGCCCAGAAGCACGCCGCTCCTCGACATCCGCCTCCTGCCTGCGATCTGTGGAGTGAGTTCACAAACCATCAAGCCTGCGCGCTCATCCTCTCCGCTCAGCAGCCGCAACACACCAGGCGAAAAAATAAAATAATAAATAAGCCCATTTCTCACACACGCATTCCTCGTTGGACCAACGCGGGGTGGCTGTTAATAAGCGAGAGACTAGCCGATGCGTGGAATGAGACGGAGGGAATGATGGCGCGCGGAGCAGTGCCTTAACCCGCCGGAGATGTTCATTTTGGGGGCATTTCAGCTGCTCTGCATGGTCCAGCTGAATTACCACCGAACCAAAGGGGTGTCACATTCTTTTGTGTGCATTTGTTTGTTTATTTTTTGATCAGCCAACAATGGGAGTTGATCCTAAGCAGTTGCCATTTGGCACGGATGTCAGCGCCATGACCCACTTTACGCTCTCGTGTCTCTTGTTTTGTGCTTCCTAAAAAGATGCGGCGGTAAAAGACGGAATGCGCGGGGTTGCTCTGCGGTGCGCCGGGCCCTGTCTCCAAAGAGGCACCAAGAGCGCGCGCCTTTAGTCTAAAACTTTTTGAGCGCGTGTCCAAGCGCATCCTTGATTCCTTCCCAAGTTTCGGTGAATTTAGAGCTCCCCAGATTAATCTTGCTCACTGGTCCACGTTAAATCCATTTCATTTCGGAATGCGGGAGACAATTATGAAGTGACCACCCGCTAGCACGCACGCACGCACACGCACGCACAAACACCCTCTCTCACACAGGCAGAGGTTACCAAATCGATAGATTATTTTTGGATGAACAAAACGACATATCAGCCTCAGTTCGATGTTGCTAGTGTGTGTATTTGTGTGTGTGTGTGTGTGTGTGTGCGCGCGCACGCGCGTGTGTTTTCCTCGTGCACATGAGGCTTTCCAGTGATTGCTTGCTGTGAATTAAAGCCCTTTTCATTTACACCTGACAGACGCGCACCCTCCACCCTCTTCCCTAAAACCTCCTTCTCACACTGATTTATGAGCCATGTCCAAACAAAAACCATCAGCCAATGTGCCATTTGCAAAAGAATGGAAACAACCGGGAGGAAGAGAAAGAGGCGCGATGAAGCCATTTCATGTGGAAAAGAAAAGAAAAGAGGCAGGCCAGATGTTTTCTAGTGTTCTGTGTGACAGTAAAGGGCAAACTGAGAGGAAACAAGACGGTGTGCAGACATGGATCTTAAGCTTTGGTGAAGAGACTACACACAATTTATTCTTTCTATGCTCCATTTCTACTCCCTTTATGCCTTTAGTACAGCGTAAATCTATTGATTGGCATCAGAATAGGCTTTATAGGAGAGGGTTGAGGCTGGTGCAGCTATCGTGAGTCAAGGTGAGGCTTTAGGGGGTCTGTCTGCTGAAGGTGTGACGGCAAAGGCAGACTAAGAGCCGAGGTCAATTCAGGATTTGTCGGGTGGATCTGTCAGTGAGTGCAGCCTGGCTGCCTCCATACTCATGATCAAATTAATGTCCGGATTAATGTCAGCTTTGAGTATAACAAGAAACACCGGGGTTAGAATCATATAACATATAGCAGCTATGCATGCGTCAGGTTACTCACACTGAGGCGTGCAAACATGCAGTATACAGCACGAGAATCCTCTTGTACATGAGTAATCAACTGTAATCACACGTGAGGATAACCATACATTTCAAAGCACGTTTTTCTGTATAGTCAAATCCACATCCTAGAAGGAAGTCTTGTTGAGCGATTTTCAGTCGTGTCAGAGGTTTGAAGTGTGTACCATAAATGAGGTTTGATTGATGCCACGGGGCCGATTCTTGACTCTACTGTCGGCACTGTCGGAGGTGTCTGAGGCACAATAACGGGGGCCGGTCTCCCTCTACTGTTCATTCCTGTGACGTGCACTTCTCAGAGAATAAACGTCTGCCCGTTCATTTGCACGTGATCGGGAATAGGTTTAGCTATTAACGTGTGGGTGTGTTCTTATACTGTATTTACCATGAAAGGTGCTGTTGTCTGTCAGGAAATGCCGGCGGTACTGCGGCTCTCCTTTCCTGCTCACAACCCAGGAGCTCATGTTGGAGAACCTGTAGAGGAGAAGGGAGTTTAACTGTGATTTCAAACTTGTTTGGGGAATTGAATGCATCTAAAAGATAATTTATTATATGTGTTATATCATGTATAAATAAAGAAATAAACGTGGTGTCTTGTGCTGTGAGCCAACTCCGCCAACTCTAAGTGAAAAAATCCAAGATGCAAAATGAAAACAAAGAAAGTGGTTTACAGGCGGAACGATACTACATCTCAAAAGAGAAGCAAAAATAATGCTTCATTTCTGCACAGAGAGACTTTGAGGGGGCTTCTCATTTTAGGAGATATAGAAGATTCCCAATTTCCTTCTGATCACCTCTCATTCCTGCCTACTGGCAGTTTGACTGCTGAGTGTTTCCCCACCTGTTGCTCATCTGTCATTCTCTGGTTTACTGCATCCACACACACACACACACACACACACACACACAGGAGATGTTTGGATCCGGAAAGGCTCGGAGCCTCTGAGACAGTTATTGCCGTCTGGTGCCGGCTGACCCGAGTGGAGGTGACTATCTGGTGGAACACGTAGAGTTCACGGGTGGATTTTCTTTGACTTGAAAGTACTTTCCTGTGACCCTTTCACCGCCGCTCTTTGAAAGACGGAAGCCTGTTCTGTCTGTGATGTTTATGACAGACAATATGGACTAGGACCCACTCATTCTGTCAATATGGTTGAACTCTAGCAGACATTTAGCGCATGCATTGTTGTACAAGTGTAGTTTGTTGTGTAATCTGCTCGCTTACTATAGTTGTAAATTAGACAATGTAAGGCTTTTGCCTTTGGTGGGGCTTTGGTAACTTTGACCTAATATCATAATTTTCATATACTTACATATAGCTATAAAACGTTCTCTTCATGGTACAAGCATGAAGTAATAAGATTCTTTATTGTCGCAGTCATTAAACTCTACCCCACCTTATGCTCACAATGGGCTGACTGTGAATCACAGTAGAGGAAGGCCCTTGTGACTTACTGCTTGATAACAGAATCCCATTTCTAAATTACTGTTTGTTTTCATAACAGAGCCCATATAGTGGATATAGGAGTCAGGGTAGATGAGAGAAACGGTTTGAGCAGCTTTAATGAAATATCAGGTACATCTAGGTTATATTTATTCACTACAAACACTGAAGTCGTGTGGCAGAAAAGAAGTTACCAGAATGTGCAAAAATGGTAATATCCGAACCAAAAGAAATGACTACGTATTTACATAATTGTCGGTATCCACCAGGAAAGGCCAAGTATGATCATCAGTATTGTATTTTGAGAAATGCACAATGTTGCCAAAGGTTACAGTAGATGGGAAGATTGATACTAGTCACATGTCCACTAAATATGAATCAGTCACCAGCTTGTTAGCCTAGCTTAGCATAGAAGTAGGGGGAAACAACAAGACAGCAATAAAATGCAACAAGTTAGCAATAAAATGCAACTACCAGATCCCAAAATGAAACTAATAACTAACATGAGCTTAAGGGGTGCTGATTTTGTTAACTTTGGATCAAGCCATTGGAGCTATTTTCCACTGTTTCCATTCTTAATGCTAAGCTAACCTGGCCGAAGCTGAGATAGTAAAACCACTTTGCTCTTGTTGCTGTGTGTGACACCAGTAACAAAAGGGGCCCAAACCTCAGGGGAATGCAGTCTGCTCTTTGCAGACTATCAGGCTACTGGGGGGAACGCTACTAATAAATAAATGTCTCACTGCCAGACTGCTTGATGAGTTACTCTATGCCAGGCCTCGACAGGAAGTAGGCCGAGGATGCCCCCAAGTTAAAGTTTTGTTGTTACAGATATAAATGAAAAAATATATAATGAATGAAACGAAATCTAGGGATGCAGCATTTGAGAAGACTGAGGCAGTGGTCTATACATTTAAATAAAGGGGTACTATTTGGGAATTCAACTATTCAGAGCACTGCTTTGCCACTACTGAAAATACATTTTTGTTAGAGGCAAATATGATAATAATAATAATATAGCCAAGCAAATAGGGATTTTTGTAGATTGTGGATCCCTGATTTTATTCAAATGTATCACCCTGGTTACCGTACTTTGCGGTATTTATTTTATTTATTTATTTATTTGCAAGAGGTATCAATTTATCACAACCATGAACATAAGACTCAGTATTAAATCCTAACCACATTTTAAAGGGCTGTTTAATGTTCATGGCCCATGGAACAAATAACTCCTGATTTAAGCATGTTGATTTGTAAAAATGACCCTCTCCTGCATGGCTCAACAGACCAGCATCTGTCAACCCATATTGCTAAAAAACATGAATAATGAGACAAACAATGCTTATTCGTTTTTATGTGACCGGCTACCATGAATGCTCAGTGATTAGTAAACATTATTCAAGACAATAACAAAAAAGATTTATTTCGACATCTGCAACCATCTCATTGGTTATGCATTTGAATAAACCACAAGCAGAGGCGTGTATCCAACACTGTTATGATGCTTCCTATATATCTCCCTTCTATTAAAAGTCACCGGGGCCAGATGAGGATCCTTACATGATTTGGCCAGTGCAACACTTTGGTGTTCCACAGAGTCAATGAGAAGCTTGTAAGTGCTTGGTAAGCAGTTTTCAGAAGAGAGAGCAGGCAATCTTGGGATGTTAATGGCTTTTTTTCAAAATCTTCTCACTAACTCCTTGATACACCAAATGAAAGGGTGTAAAGGGCACTAGAGGTCAAAGGACCTTAATGATGCAATATCTGAAAAATAGGAAAAGTCCATGGTAAAATCTGACCGAAGACGGCTGAAAATCCTCACAATTAGAATCTAAGTCGTCCAGTCTCTGCTGTTTCTTAGAGCCTTCGAACTGATAAGGAAAGAGAGTGAACGTGGAGGCAGAGAGGTTACCGAGGGTTCACATTTGTTATGAGGGGGCACTGGGGCTATCCGAGGCGGTCAACAGACGCTGGTAAATGCTGTAAATCTCTCCCTCTGCTCCCAATCCATTACCTTTTACGTTCAGGTTTTAGACTCAAACTTCAGTCCCTCAGTCTTCCTTTCTTTTCCGCCAAAAATCATCAAATATTCATGCGGGATCACAGCACCCACCCAAGAGTCATGTTACTACTCATACAACCCTACACCAGCAAGCCGATACACTGTTCACAATGCTTCTAGTCACATAATAACAAGGAAGTCACTTTGTGGCTCATGCGTTCTTGCACACATGCATAGCCACACAGACTCTAACAGCAACTGTTTATAGTGACAGCAGGTGAAATCAAATATCAGCTTCATTTCTTGGGAAAGTTCCATCAACAACTGCAAACTGCAGGAACAAAAGTAGTTACGTGAGATTGGATCTCAGGCCTTTATGCCTGTATCGTTTCAACAACTGGGCCTGACAATGACCCTCCTTGTATGACAACATTCTGTAAGGTTTATCAGGCAAGAGCAATGATGGAGAGTCACCTCTGGGTTTTTTTTTTTGGGGGGGGGGGGGGGGGGTGCAATTAGTGTCACACCAGATCTCTGTCTCTTTAAATCTCTTTGTCTTTCACACCCGGGCAGCTACACACAAGCACTCAAATCAAATCAAAAAATCCCCAAGGACCCTGCTCTCGGACGGGGGGATTGCCCCATCTCTTTCTCTCTTCGATGGCTGCCGGCTGAGTTAAATAAAGGCCTTTGTTATGCTGTCCTGGTGCAAATCAGTTGTTAAAGCACAATGGGAATGAGCACCAACACGTGAAATGCATGCAGCAGAAAATTCTTAATCAATCGCACATCTTAATTATTGATTTTAGTAGAATAAAAAGCCTTATTTGCTCACCTGGAGTGGTGCAATAAAGATGATAACTTAATGTCTTGAGATTCTATATTACAGAGCTGTAAGCGCAGCCTTACAGGTGCACATTGGCTTGGATATGATATACAGCATCCTGCCAACAATACATTTAAAGTGACAGTTAACTGTATGCCTATTGCCATAGCAACAAAAGTGGCCAGTTAAGTGCCAGGAAAAAAGTGTTTTTAAGTTAGACAAATGCCTCTAGTGAGATATAATGTCGGGGGGTTCTTAAAGAAATGTCTTTATGTCTTACAACAATCATAAAAGGTTTACTTACTTCTGCCAGGTCAGTTTGAGATTTGGAAACCACGTTGTCAGCTTCCTCACAATAATTCCCCACAGTCACCGGGACGGTGGTCCTTCAGGTGCTGCACGCCCATGACGCTTGTTACCGACGTGTTGTAAGTGTGCGATGGTCCACAGCAGCGCGGCTCCAAGGAAAGTAAGAGAGTCCCAACAACTTAACTGGTGGGGATAAGTAGTGAGCAGCCACCGCTGCATCAAGCACGGTGTCCTTTCAAACGAGTCCTACCAGTGTGCGCACAGCGGCGGGAGGAAGAACCCGGAACGGATCCGCGGGGTCGGAGGTCAAAGAGATGGATCACTCATTTAATCCAGACTTCCATCCAACGAGAGGAAAAAAATAAACAAAGAGAAGAATGACTTGTTCCATTCATGTATATGGAAATTGAACACTGACACAGTCATTATTAACATTTTTACCAGTAAGTGACATTATCAGTTAATAGTTATTAATCTGTTGATTTTGTGATTGTAAAAACTTTAATTTGAACATTTTGCTGCGTAGTATTTGAAATATGATGAAGAAACAAGAGCGCCTAATCCAACCTTGGTGCACTAACAAAATAGTCGACGTTAATCTTTTGTTGATTGAATCAAGCTTCTATTTGGAGAATTGTTCAGTAATTTACAACATGCAGTATGACATGAAGCATCTGCATTACGAGAAAAGGTCACATCATTTTTCTACAGTGACAACTTTAAAACCTCCTCAATAAACATCACTAAATCTCTGCGATCCTTAGCTTCAGACATGTTCTACCCCTCCTTCCCCCTCCGATCTGTCCCGTGGTTTCCCTCCAACTCCTCCCTGTGCGCGAGTTCAAAGTCTGGCAGCAACAGCCATCAGCCTGAATTGCACCTTACATTTTAAACCAGCCCACCAATCACAAGCCTTCCTCACCAGTAACAGTCGCTAGTAACATTTGCACAACAAAAGAGAGCTGATTCATCACCACCCCCCTCTTGCCATCCCCTTTCCTTCACTGCCTTTCCCTTCCACCGTGACTCCTCCTCTCCTGTCTTTGTGCTCGGACCCAAAATCCCCCTCTACCCCCTGCGACCCTCCCCCCCTTTGCACTAATCTCCTCAAACCCATTGGATTGACTGGCCAGTGGTCACACTCGATGCATCGGGACCCCCTCACCCTGCACCCTGCAGGGCGCTCATTACAGTCTGCCTTCATTTGCAGGCCTTCATCCTCCACCTCCTCCTCCTCCTCCTCCTTTGTGCATGGATGAAGCGTTGATAGCATCCGCAGCACATGGAAGAGCAAGGTGCAAATTTGGTCACTGGGCTTGTAGTGCAAACAATAATGACAACCACACGAGGGAAAATCCTAGAAATACAGGGCATTTGCTTTGGGGCTTATTCTTCAAGAGGGCTCGCTTGTTTGTTCTTCATTCATATTCAAAATGAGATCAAATCAAGACAGTTTACAGGCTCTTCCTATTTTATTTTGGTAATCAAATATCGTGATAAGAGTTGCAGCTAAAAGGGCCCTCTCTGTATAGAGCGTCACGATCCCCACGCGTACACAACATGTCAGGCCCCCGGTGGGGTTTGAAAACAGCCACATAAAGTTTAGCCTCGGCTAGCTTGGTATTTCACATTTGGTGTTTCTATAGCAACAGTGATAGGGATCCCCCCCTCTCCATTTTGAACACTATCAACATACCGCACCTTCTATTTGTGATAAATGGGGTCTTCCACACACACATGACTGTTACGGAGGAGGCTGTGGGGTAAGTGAAAGCCAAAAGAGGTTTGCAATACATTTTAATCATTTCAAACTTTCAGTAAAACTAAAACACAAACCATTGCAACAGGTGTAGTTAGTCATGTAAACTCAGTAAGATCAGGTTGTTTTCATAGCGTTAATAAGCGTATGTATCACACATTACAGATTAGTGATAGATGGAACTTTTTAAAGCCTGTGGTAAGATTGTTAAATGCTTTGTGTCAATACATCACAGGTATACAGAATAACTGAGGCAGATTATGTCCTGTCACATTTTAATTAAACAGCTCTCTTGGAACCATCATTCACTGTTCTTCCCAAACATCCTCCTCATCAGTCTGAATAAAGCATTGGCCCTGACAACCTTGGAGGCCCTCTCCCACAGGCTGTCCCGCTGCCACAGCCCCCGCCCCTTCTTCTCAGCTTTGACCTCTGCCCTGTGCAGCCGTTTGAGGAGACGCCAGTAGAGACGAGAGTCCGGCAGGACCCCGACCAGGGGCGCGGTGCGAGCCAGACCGAGCCGGAGGACCTCTTCGTTCATACAGTAGCTCCACATCGACCCCAGCTGGAGAAAGAAAGGCATTACCTATCAGTCCCACGTCAGGTGTTCATTTAGTAAAAATGTCTACAAGAACACAAGAGCACTTTAAGTGAGTCAACTCCCGTTCACTCACTTACTTACCCCGCTTTGAGACACCAAACAGTGCAGCATGTCGTCTTCTCGGCTGATAAGTTTTAGCCAGACTGTTTGGGAAGGAGCCAAGTTCTTGTGCAGCCATACTTTGCCCTCCGGAGTCAACTCCACTCCTGCGAGATGCACCAGCATCGGGGACGTGGCGCCGCCTAAAGAGGACGTGAAACATTTACCATACGTGTTACAAAAAAAACTAAACTATAGCTAATCTGTAGTCATGCACACTGTAAATAGGATTATCCTTAGAGGTGGGATTCATAGAGCCGGTTAAAGAAGACGCATCTAAAAAAAGTCTAAACAAAGTAGCTGTAGGCCTTCATATAGTAGTCTAATATTGGAAAAGTTAAGCTTCATATGAGTAACTGCCTAACTAAGCAAGACAAATAATTAACCTGGTTAGTACTGGTGTGGTGGTTGTGTTTTAAATACACAATTTTTGGGCCCAGCTGTTGTTTGACCAGGACTCAATATGAAAAATGTCCCACAGACCAGCCACATCTATGAAAGAAATGCAAGTTAATCATATTTGTGTTTAGCCACAGTCCCAAACGATGGGTCTAACCATCTTAACAACGTGGGAGGTCAAGTGGGACAGAAGTAATAATTGAAATAACTCCACAATCTGCTCCTGCGAGTCCTTCACACCGAACATGCTGACGGTGCACTCTATATAAAGCATTAGCAACATGAAGTTGTTGGTCAGTGAATACAATAATTTAATAACACAGATAACAAGATTAACCGTCACTCTAACTCATGAGAAGATGATGCAATTAAATAACTGCAGTGTGCTGATGGGACCATTTTATTACACACTTTATGGTTATCTTTGTGTAAGGTATGATACCAACAGTAAAATATGTGTGTGTGTGTTATGTGTATGTGTGCTTGCCTTCATGATTTCACCCAAAGGACACCCTTACCTTTGTGTTTTGAAAGTAACGTAGAGACGATTGGCAGATAAATTGGGACATGTTCCACCTCAAGTCCTCTCTCTGTGATTGAATGAACTTTCCCACGAAGGCTGATATTGCTCTCAATGAAACGAGCGGGAATCTCAGACACGGCTCGAAATTTGGTGACCTAAAGAGGTGGAATGAGACAGCTAAGAGGCCACGTTAAATGACTCATCCGTCTGAAATGTAATTTCATAAACACAGTAGTCTAATATTATAAAGTGGTTATAAGTGGTGTTGGATTTAAGACAGTGAATATATGGTGATATACCACAATAATCCAGAGTTTCCAATTAAAGTATTAGTGTCAAATTTGAACCTTAAACTAAATAGGGAGGTAATTAATTTGCAACCAAATTAAATCTTCATTAAATCCAAAATGCAGCTGAGTCTCTAATTGGAGGGTCCCTTTACCCCAATGTGGACCTTAATGATCTTACCAGTTTAATGCTCCTTGCAATTACAATGACACCAGCAACTGCCAACCCTGTGCTGATGTTCTGTGTGTGAGACAAAAGAGAAATGAAGGGTTTCAAGTTGCCAAGATAACGGCACAACCTTCGATCCAGTTGAGTAGTAAGTATCGGTGACACACACAGGGGCATCAAAAACACCACCTGGAACCACTGGTGAAGCCTGACATGATCTGGTCAGGGCGTTGACAGCATTTCGCATGGAGGAATAGCTTGGGAGGAACTTGGATGAAAATGCAGATATACAATTTCATGTTAATACCCACTGACAGATTAATCGCAGATGCACGTGGCTCACGCACACTATTTGGCAATGAATTGCTACGCTGCACTCCCATGTATAAATTTGACGTCACACAAAAGAGACTCCTACCCGCACGAGTGCTAAGTGATCATCTGCAAACTGAGATACCAAAGACACGATTTCATGAGACGAAGGAGGTCCTTGATCTCTTTGTTGTCTGCCTGTCAGCTTTTTCTCAGTTTCTGTTTCTCCGGAAGACTCCGGCATGTTGTTGACACTCGCTGCTCGCCGGACGCCCCGCCTCTGTGGGAGGGACGTGCGAGAGGATCGCTCGAGTAAAGTCTCCGCCCTGTGGTTCGGTTCGGATAAAACAGGACGGCGTTGAGCCTAAATGCACGCTGTTAAGACTGATACAATTGCAATATTTTCACATGGCACTGTACATGTGAAATTTATTTTGCAAAAATGTAATTTAAGCAAAATGATGTATATATGTATATTACACACGCATACATATGTATTTATACATGCATGAATGTACATCATGCCCGTTGTAACTGAGATTTAAATGACCAACCTATTAGCCTCTAGCCTTTCGATGGGATCAGGTCTCCATCTTCTGCACAACTTGACCTAGATAACTTCATAACTGCTGTATCCGTTTAAATGCCAAAGCAAAAGGCTTTGACAAATTGCTTTTTCTTAATAACATGGATATTTGTAAAAAAAACAAAAACAACAACAAAACATAATCTATGTAAAACTACATATTTGTAAAAAAAAAGAAAGAAAAGAAAAGTCAGTTATTTACATCAGTCATACGCAGCAGATGTTGCACAAGTGGTCCATTTTTAATAAGAGACATCGTTGAGGAGTGACCACTGACTGTATGACAGATGCACCGGAGCTCTCATCTTGTAAACTGTGAAGTCATGGAGCTACTTGAAGACGGATGACGCCCCCATTACCACAAATTGGCCAATAGGAGTTGAGAGGCAGAGTTGTCCTCCTGGCCGCCATTAAAGAATTCAATCCATGAACTGAAATAATGGAAATCTGCAGGACCCATGGATCAGGCAGAGAAAAGTAGCCGATGAGTAGTCTCGCCAATTCGGCATTTCGTCTGTTTTAAGAGTAGTTTTACGATGACGGAGCACTGTGATGGTTTTAGCGAAAAGGAGGGCGGTGTAGCTAATTGTTTTATTTAGCTAGCAAGCTAGCGCTGGAGCTCTGGTATGTTAGCTTTTGTGCTAGCAGGCTAGGAGAGATCAGGGGGAGGGGAGAGTTCCTTTGCTTTGAAATTGTTTCAGATCAGCTAGCTGGCATTAGCATTAGCACACCGGCGACTACGCTTTTGAGGTGAAGTTTTTTTAGTTTTCGAGCTCTTATTTTTATTGCGCATCTAACTTTTCTTGTGTTTGATTCAACGTTGGTCTTTTCGGGTGCTGTTGACGTTGACTATTTGGTGTTACGGCAATGTAGCTGCAAGCTTGCGGCTAACCCGATCAGACAATACATTTCAACTAGGATTGATGAATCGAATAGCTAAAAGCTTACAGTTAACGCTATCTGGCTGCCTGTCTGACGCTAGTTTGCGCCACCGGGCCAGTGGAGGCTAGCGCCGGTTAGAAGTTGTCCGGTTGACTAGCGGTAGCTAGCCTGTAGCTAGCAAGTTGGTCAGCGCTTTAACGGGATAATTACGACAGAAGATCGCTCCGCCAGCTACACAACTACACCAGCTATTGCCCCCGATGGTGATTGAGACAATGGACTTTAACGTTACAACCACGCAGTGAAAGGATGAGTTCGTGCTTTGTACCAAACGGGGCCAGTTTGGAGGACTGCCACTCCAATCTCTTCTGCCTGGTAAGACACACTGCTCTCTGCGCTAGCTAGCGTTAGCTCTGCTGCCGAGAGGCCAGAAAGCCATTTTGGCTAATCAGGCAACAAGCTTTGTAACGTCAGTTGCAGACTGGCGTGAAGGCATCGGGCCTGCAACTTGCAAGCCGTGATCCAACTAACTTTCATAATATAGAAAGATCGTACTGCAGATTAACTATATTAAAGAGTTTTCCCTGAAAAGGGCTTAGTGGTGTGTGTGTGTGTACTCCGCTTTGGTTACACACATTCTCAACAAGCATTAATGTTGGTAACGTGATGGTAACAGGTCAAGCCAACAGCCGAATTATTTAAAACCTGTCAAGTGTGATGTTTTTCTAATAATAATTGAAATGACTCACAATATGAACGTTAAGTCAAATAGTTTAAATTAGGGGAAATATTCTAATCTCATTCTACACAGTGGTGTGTCAATAATGGCAAATAACTGCCAACTTGATCACTACATGACAGTTACGTTTTAACCATGATCGTGGTAGCACATGTACAAAGTATTGCAAAACTTTCCAAGTGATCTGCAAGTCTTTCTTTTTACCTTTTTTCAGTGAGTGATTTTCTGAATGACAGGACTCATCAACATTTTATTATTGTGTGTGTGTGTGTGTGTGTGTGTGTTCAGTAGAGGAATTACTCACACACTTTGACTGACTGAGGTATGCAGTCAACAACAGATGATTGGCCTAATGCTGTGCAGCTCTGCCGTGTTTATTCTCACCTTTTGTTTTTCCCCCTTTTGCTTTTTTAGGCCGATTTAACTGGAATAAAATGGCGGCGTTTTGTGTGGCAAGGGCCCACCTCTTCGCCAATCCTTTTCCCAGTGACCGAGGAGGACCCTATCCTGTGTAGTTTCAGCCGCTGCCTGGCGGCAGACGTGCTGAGTGTGTGGAGAAGGCACCACACCCCGGGTCGCAGAGAGCTCTGGCTTTTCTGGTGGGGGGACGACCCCAGTTTTGCCGAACTAATTCACAATGAGCTCTCTAGTAAGTGCATGCAACACCTCCATGTTCATCACAACTGGTTACACAAAAATTTAGATTTAATTCCCTTCTGTAAATGGTAAAAACATTTTATTTCCATATTCTTATGGAATCCAAGCAGTGCTTTGAAATGGATGCCTCAATCTTAATGCGGGAAAATTGGTCCATTTGTGGACAGGTTGTTCCTGTTGAAACATGTTTAGTGTTTGAAGACAATGCCAACCATTCTAACTTGGAGCAAATAATTTGAATGCAGTTTTCAAATACAGATTCAGTGGATGATAAGATGTGATTAGCCTTTCTGTCAGGGCTTTTATCATTCATCATAAAGCCTTTTGGAATCTATTGGCTCTCAGCCACGGAGGTGCGTGTTTGTGTGGTAGCAAAATAGGTGTTGGCCACCAGAGTCTCCTAACCCCGTCTTGATTTGGTACGAAGGTTTAGTTGTAGCTTCAGTCTATCTTCCTATTTGTGAAGCGGTTCCCCTTGGGGGCTGCCGCAGTTGGCAGCTATCCGTTCTCCCGTCCTAAGGAGTGTCAGGTGTAACTTGAAGACCGCACAGATCGGTCATTAGAGGGACAGAGCGAGCTACAACACACAGGAATTGCAATTCCATTTCAAGGGGTTAATTTTGTATTTATATTTATGTCTTTTATATTTAATAATACAATGTATGTAGCCTTTATCGGGGGAACAAATCTTTTCGCACTGAACATATTTTTTAACATCGAAATTATAATTTTATATATATATATATATATATATTTTTTTTTTTCTTCAAATTTGTCATCTCAGCTCTTTAGGAAAGAGTGAGGTCTATTTGCCAACATCTGGTTCAATGTATCTCCTTTGTTTCAGGTGAGGAGGATGGGGAGTGGGAGAGTGGCCTATCCTACGAGTGTCGGACGCTCCTGTTCAAAGCCATCCACAACTTGTTGGAGCGCTGCCTCATGAACCGTGGCTTCGTTCGCATCGGCAAGTGGTTCGTTAAGCCATACCAGAAGGAGGAGAAGACCATTAACAAAAGGTACGCTCGGCCTCCTAACGGCCAACGACATAGTCCTATGACGTACTGTAACGTGACAAATTGCAGCCAAGAGTAATTGTCAAGTTGTCTAGGAAAAGGTGTGGCGGGGCTGCTTTCTCTTTGAATCCACAGGAATTACCTGTATGTCTGCGTTGTTTTGGGATTCACCATGATTTTCCCTTATTGCTGTCTGTCGCTCTGGTTTTTCTCTATTTAACAAAGACGATGTTCTCACTTGCTGGTGGTCTTTATTCAGAAATGATTCTACTTTGGACATTTTTAAGCAATTTCTAGAAGTCTCAACATTTCTCTCAATAAAATCCTTACTTTTGAAAAACAAGAGGTTATGCCGCCACCATCGCCTGAAAGGTTTTGATAGAAACCTGCTGCTGCTGCTGACATTATTTTAAAGGTGTCTAGAAAGTTATTATGGAAGTTAGAAAAGAAATCAGCTGAACTAGCTTACTGAAGATCAATGTGGAAGAAGAGCCAGTGTTTGTTATTCCCATTTGCTCTTGGAATTACAATCGAGAAGTCTTACAGTATTTCAGATCTCTTTATAAAGAGCTGGATTTACTACACGGTGTGACACGTTGGTTGTGAACACAGTTTGAAGTATGCATGCAGTATTTTATGCTGGTTGGATGGCCGATAAATATGAGCGGTAACTGCTGTATGTAAAGCCTGCAAACAGATGTCTTCATTGTTCTCAAATTTGTGCTTTAAACCCATTACAATTCCTAGCCTCTGGCAGCAACTGTTAAAATTCCCATTCAGGATTCATTGAGAGATCGTCCCTATTCTCACAAAAAAACAAGCTTGAAAAATGTATTAAGAAGACCATCCTTATGTAGTGTAACCATGGCGCTGGGCTGTTAAACGCAAATCTGCTTCTGTTTGTACAGTTCTATAATCAGAGGTCAGTTGTCATATCATATATTCCTAATCATATTACTCCAGCATTTACAACAAGATCAATGTTGTTTTAAGTCACTGGAATGTTTAATAATAATGATGGAGTATGACAGGATTATTACAATTCTTTTTTTAATTACAACGTCAGCGCCACACCATTTTCAAGCAGAAGTCACCCAGCCGGTTGCGTACTTTTTAAATTTAATTCAAGACCTGTCTGCACTTTTTTAAATGTTAACACGCTACTTAAAAAAAAAAAAAAATAGTTTGTGTTGTAGAAATCTAAGCCTGAGGGGAACCAGCAGCAGCAGCACATAAATAACCGTGGGGTTCTGCAAAGCTGTATTTCCTTGCCTCTTGTACACCAGGGTGGTCACATAGTTTTACTGGTCACATTGCTCTTGGATGAGCGGGCCGGAGTTCCCTGACAAGCTAATTTGAGCCTGTACGTCTTTTGCTCTGTTGATCCAAGCTGACTTGTGTTCGATGCACTG